AATGCAGACCTGAGTTTACCAAATGGTGAAAAGGAGCAAAAATGGGTGTTCTGAAAGACAAATCACTATAGAGAGCTTGCTTGATTTTAATAATTACAACTTCAAGGATTTATTCTGTTCCCTTGAAGGGCTAAAATACCATGGCTTTATGAAGAGCAAAGGGAAGTTATGATTTTTCAATGTTAAATTTTATGTGTGTATCATGGGAATGCCAGTTTTAACATTGCAACTTCAAAATACATTCATAAAGATATTTAAACAAGAATGTGTCCATAGTACACGGATGCCCCACTTGCATTATCATTTTCTATGTTCAGTGGACCTTGAAATTGGGGTCAAAACTTTAATTTGGCATTAAAATTAGAAAGATCATATCATAGGGAACATGTGTACTAAGTTTCAAGTTGATTGGACTTCAACTTCATCAAAAACTACCTTGACCAAAAACTATAACCTGAAGCGGGACAGACGGACGAACAAACGGACGCACAGACCGAAAAACATAATGCCCATAAATGGGGCATAAAAACAGAAGTAAAGTAATATAAATGCATTGCAGTTCCAAAATATTCCAATGTTTTAATTATGATTTTCCCTTGCCCCTTAAGGGATCAGTAGAAACCAGATTTGACTCTGTGATCACTTATGCAGCAAACCCTCTATAAAACAAGAAAAAAGTATAAAATCTGGATTCTTATAAGCAGAAAGAAATTAGGTCTGAAATGTAAGAAAATCACATAAAATGCATCACAGCACATTTTGAAATTTAAATACATGCATTAAGCTGGCTAAATAATTGTCAACAGTACATCATAAATCTGACATCTTCAACCTTGTCCGTGGTTTACTAACTGTGTGTAATCTAGGAGAAAATCTCAGTTTTATTGATGAAACTGTCTGTTTTTCTCTTTTCTTTGAAGGTGTAATCTGTAAAGAGTTCATTTTTGATGAATTATTATCTTTTATTTTCATCACAGCTCTTAAATTCTCAGCTTTGGTTACTTCTCTTCCGGAGGTCTGAAAGAAAAAAAAGTTCATAAAAACTTCATTGTTTCAAGCATTCATTTCAGAACAGTAAGAATGTACATACATCTTGATAATGAAAAAGAAGGGATGTGGTGTTTTTTAATTCATGACAGATAATCCCTGGTCCTTAGCAAATGAGACTTGATATTAATGCATCACAAACCTTGACGCATATATGTTCTGGAACTGAAAAAATTGACACCGTGTATTTTTCTAGGGAAAACTGTTTTAAGGTAAGTGCAGCCCCTGACAGCATTGACATTTAGTATTTCAATTCCAGAATGACATTGTTATATTTAGAATACCAGTATATTCTATGTAAATAAACAGCTGCGTCTTCAGCGCATGATACACCCGTCTTTTTTTCAAAGAATAAAGTTCAATAACTTCCCAATGTCATATCAGAAATTTATGAAAAACTAAAGGGAGGTTATCTTAATAGATATAAACCAGTCACCAAAGTTTCATGAAAACTGCTTAAAGCACTTTAAAGATATTGGCCGAAAACTGGAAAATCACCCCTCTTTTATGAATAAAATTCCATTAAATAGGAAACATAAAATCTAAAATTTATAAAAATCGAAAGGGAGCTTATGTATATAGATATAAAAAAATTCATGAAAACTGCTGAAAGCATTTTTGAGTTATTGTCTGAAAACTGGAAAATCCCCCTTATTTTAATGAATAAAACCCCATAACTCGTAAACGTAAAATCTAAAATTATAAAAATTGAAAGGGAGCTCATGTCAATAGATATAAACAATTCATCAAAGTTTCTTGCAAATTGGTGAAAGTGTTTTTGAGTTATTGTCCGAAAAACTGGAAAATCCCCCTTTTTTAATGAATAAAACCCCATAACTTGGAAACTTAAAATCTTAAATTTATAAAAAACAAAAGGGAGCTCTCGTCAATAGATATTAACAATTCATCAACGTTTCATGCAAATTGGTTTCAGCGTTTTTGTCAGACATGTTGACAACAGAGGGAAAGACAGACGGACAACATACCATAATACGTCCTGTAAACGGATGTATAAAAACCAATATACTGTGTTAAGCAATAAGTATTCATCCCCTACAATTTTTGGCTATATATTTCTTTTCTTTTGATAGCATTTATGGTTTGATTTTAGCAAACCGCATATAATGAAAGACACAGAATTGTCTTGGGTATATTTGTTTGTTTGGTTGTTTTTGTTAAATCCTGATGTAAATTAATTTGGTTGAAAATTTCCAGACAAAAAATAATACTGGTGTTAAATATCATCAGAAATGCTCTCACAATAATTTTTTTAACGAAAATTTTTTTTTTTTATATGAAATATATATATATATATATATAAACAAGTCTAAACTGAAAACAACGTTCAAACCTATGATTGCGTTGGATAAAAACCGCAATTTTTATACGTGTGCATGCAAAACAAATTTCTTGGTAGAGTGGTCTAAACTTATTTATACAGCACAAACAACATTTTCCAAAAGACCAAAAAAAGTGAAGTAGTATATTTTAACAAAACGCATTTGACTAGCAGGTCGAACAACAGATGTTCTTAAACCTGCTGACTGCCATTGGCGATTGCCAAATAAACGGATCACCAGATGTAACAAAATGGATCTTTATTAATTTAATACCAAACAGAAAACAATAAACTTGCTGGAAAAGATGGTATACCGCAAACATGAGGTGCAAAAATTTGTACATATATGATTCGTCTAAACAACAGCCCAACAATGTTAGATCTGTAAATTTGCTGAAGCAAATTTTTTGTTCTTCTCTGGCCGGGATTCAAACTCATGCTACTGAGATATATTGGCACCAAATTGCCTTGCACTATGCCCGACGCGCTAGACCACTCGACCACCTAGGCTCTATAATAATAAAGCTTTTGGTGGCCGGGTGTTACCTTTCCTAGTCAGTTTTTATCTAGCGTCGTAACACAGTACATGATATATAAGGCATGAAGATGGAATTGTTACAGATCAGCTGAATTATCTATTGTAAAGGATCCTACAAATTAATGTAAGATGCAGTCACAGAAATAATTATATTATAAGTACGTCTGAACCAGGGCTTCCAAAATTATTTTTAGCCAGCCGGACATTTTATATATTATCCCGATTTTAGTCCCTTAAGAATAAATAAACAATAGGCAATTATGGTAATCAGTTGCCGAGTTGGCCATCCCAATGATTGATATTTAAAAAAAAAACGATATTAAACTTTCTTTGATTCAAATTCGAAGTTCTGACGTAAACTGTTAAATTGGCAGTGCATCATCCGAAGTGTGCAACATCAGCGTACTTATATCTGCCTTAGACTCTTTATTTGTGCAAAATAACGTTGTCAAAAACTTTACTTTCGTTTTTAAATCTGAAACCGGATGTTATCTTGACAATGGTAAAACATGGAACAGAGACGGATACGTAAATTCCGTGTACGTTTGCAAAGCATGAATGAGTGTAAGTAGCTCATTCTACGTTATTTCTTCAAGAAAATATTCGAAATAAACGTGAGATAAAGGTATCAATGACAATTTAAGCATTTTTTTAAGAAATTAGGATGCATAATTAAATTTCACACCTGCGCACATGCACATGCGCACACATGTACTAGTTCAAACAGAGACATGTCTCTGGTTCAAACAACGTGGTTATGACGATTTTTTATTTTCACCTCTTTAATTTTTTCATCAAATCTTATTTGTAAATGTATTTCTGATAATTTAAATCTTTTTGACTAAATTAATTAGATGCAAACCGGTGAAATGTAAGAAAATAACTTTGAATAGACCGATCAATGTCCGGTTCAAAATAGTTTACCTGTCACCTGAACAGGTAAATTTCAGCTGTTCGACAACTAATTAGCCTTGATTAAAATGAGAAGGTATTAAAGTAGGGGTTGTTTTGATAGTACTTAATGATCATGTCACTTTTATGACCGGAAATGTGTGGCTGTTACAGGCAAAAGGTTGGGTCAAAAAGATCGCGAATTATGTTAAAATGACCCTCTCTTAAGAAATCTTGAAATCTAAAAAGTAGATGACCGTTTCGTGCTTTGCCCAGCCGGACTTTTACAGGACATTATACAAATGTCCGGAATATATGACCGTTTTGGAAGCCTTGGTCTGAACCAGTGACTACTCTACAGCAGATTTTATCCATCGGATCACCAGCAGTGATGGTAATACAAGGCTGAAAATACATTCTGTTTATATAATATAATTCGTCTAAACAGCCCAACAATGTTAGATCTGTAAATTTGCTTCCGCAAATTTTTTGTTCTTCCCTGGCCGGGATTCGAACTCATGCTACTGAGATATCGTGGCATGAGTTCGAAGGGAAGAACAAAAAATATGCGGAAGCAAATTTACAGATCTAACATTGTTGGGCTGTTGTTTAGACAAATTATATATATTATATATACAGAATGTATTTTCAGCCTTGTATCACCATCACTGCTGGTGATCCGATGGATAAACTCTGCTGTAGAGTCGTCACTGGTTCAGACGTACTTATTATATATATATATATATATATATATATATATATATATATATATATATATATATATATAAAACAAAAAATAAAAGAAGAATATGTCTGAAGACACCCTTAAGCTTGCTTATAATACATGAAAATACTTTTTTGAGAACATTTGGTGTCACTGCTAGTTCGTAAAGAGTTTTATTGTTGTAGTCTTAGGTATTTTTGTTATAAAGGGGCATAACTCTAGAAAGAGAAGAGACTCACTGCCCAAATTCGAACTCTATCTGCGAGTTTTGATACTTAACTTAGCATTGTGTAGAAGTTTCATTAAATTTGGATGAGGAAAAGTAAGTTAGAGTACAGAAACAGGCATAAAAACTGTAGGTGACAAATACTTATTGCATAACACTGTATATATGTAGCTTCTTCACACATGTTCAAATACAAACTTACACAGCCCAATTTACAATTACAATATTGTTTTAATCAAACTGTACATACTTTTAGTATGGATGACAAGCAAGATTCTGTGTCTTTCAAACGATCTAAAACTTCCTCTGATGATAACACATTATCTGGTAGGGATAAAGACTCTGTTTTAGGATTACATATAACTTTTAACTGGCCCTAAAATAAAAAGTCAAATTTACTTTGATAACACATTATCTGGTAGGGGTGAAGACTCTGTTTTGGCATTACATATAACTTTTAACTGGCCCTAAAATAAAGAGTCAAATTTACTGTGATAACACATTATCTGGTAGGGGTAAAGGTTCTGTCTTAGGGTTACATATAACTTTTACCTGGCCCTAAAATAAAGAATCAAATTTACTTTTGATTAAGATTTACAGTTTTCCAATGTCCCCCACCAATGCACATATTTTATAAGTCCAACAAAACTGCACAGGTTGTTGTGCTATGCATACCGCCATTCATAATTCAAAGTATCTAAAAACAGGAAAAAGGTGTCTGAGAGCGAAAAAAAAGTTCTCAAACTTTTCAATTCTTAATTGCAATAGTCCATATGATTTACAGTTCCAAGGGACAAAACTCCTGTAAAAATAATTGATCTGCACTGATTTTTGAACTTATCCTAGACATTGCTGATATAAACTGTTACCTTTATTAAGTTCATAAAAATCTGACAAGAAATACAGGCTTGAGAGTGCTTACAAATTGATATTTTCATAGAATTGACATTTCCAAGGGACATAACTGAACTCTTTGATTTTCAAACTTGCCCAAGACATTAGTGATATAAAACTTTAATATAAAGTGTTTCCAAACAGTAATACTAATTGGTTTATTATTTTGTGAATTAAATACTTACAATTCAATTTTTTTATTTGATGTAGAAATATATTTAAAATTTTAACTACAATAATATACAAATGCGCATTTAGACTTTATATGACTTAAGTATGCCTCTAGATGTCTCCATTGGTAATATGATATTTGGTTGCTGTTTTAACGAGGTATATCTCCTTAATTTATAACATTAAAAGAGTTGCTAAAATATCTGGGTGTAAGATCATGTAAAGTAAGGACCGTTTGTGTGTATTTACCTAATTTTTTTATTCGTTTAAACTTTTCATAAATATCCTACAGGAAATTTTGCATGATATTGCAAACAATATTATTTTCCATATAATTTCTATTTTCAAGGGCAAAAAAAAAAGTAAACATACGTACATTGTAGGTGATCTTAGGGTACCATTCTCTCCTTGACTGCCAACTATTATGCTTTTAAGTTTATAGTGCAAAATATATAGACAAAAGAAATGTAAAATACATGATTTGTCAAGTCTAAGATGTCTACATACTTACTAGTTTACATAACTGTTTTGCAGTAAGACGGGACAGACAGGACCTGTATCTTGACGGACAATGTTTCCTTTTTAAAGCAACTTCTGTAACTGTCTGATGAAGCTGATTAGTTAGTTCTCCATTAATATATTCTTTCTTCTCTACATCTACAGGTTCAAACTCTGTTGAAATAAAAAAAATGTATTACATTTGGTATTCTGTAGTTAACTTTTCTACATATAAGCTTAAATGTCTAATTGATGGAAACACTTGTGTTCATCCAAGTTCAATAAACAATGAGACATGTAAAAATTTACTTTAGGCCAAAGCCGCCAAACTTCTAAAAGATGAAGTTCAAAAAAATACCGTCCGACTTGAGCATTTGGTTGTTGTGTAGGACGTTAAACTACCATAACTAATTAGTCGGGTGATTAGCCTGACTCGAAGAGGAAAAATAGTTAACTAGACATCAACATACATGTACCAATGTGATATCACCAGACAAGTAAAACTGCCTACATTTTTGTAGCATTTTAAGAACTGGAATGACTAATTTGAAATGATTAAAATCAGAAGGTTATTAGTCATAGGACCTTGCATTCATGATTGTACCAAACTTTGGTCGGCATTCGTTAACGCATATTTGTTTTCTGAAGATGTGCTTTGATGTAAGGACCAACCATAATTAGTCTTTGGATTTACAAAAAAACTGATCAGTGAAAATGAGCTTAAAAGTTAAAGGTTAAGGTGCACTTGATTTTCCTTTTATATACATTTACACTTGATTCTGTTTTTTTTATATGTGAATCTTTTAAACTTGAATAGCAAATTTAAAAAAAAAATGGATTCACTTTTGACCATAGTAACAAAATGAGATCAATGACTGTAATAATGTTCTCCCAATTGTGCTAAAATGCAAATGAAAAATTGGAAACATTCACAATTTTTTTTCTAAAACGGCCAAATAATAAAATATAGGTGTGGTTACAGTTATGCCCTAAATAAATTTAAGGACGGTAGGTACAATGTAGGCATTTTTTGTTGTTGTCAAAATCCAGAAAAAATGGTGTTTTCACTGAGTCCAGTTCATGTATTATACACACCCATACTGGAAGTTTGCCATTTTATATGTTTGGCTGTAAAATAAAAGACATGTTCCGTTTTTAATTAATTTTGTTGCATTCAGATAAGAATTTGTTGCATTTTCAGCCGTAGTGGATACTTCTTATGGCAATTCAGATGACAGAAGTCTATAAAGTTATTTTTCATGTTTATTGAAATTCACATTCAACAAAATGGGATTGTTCAAAATTTATTTTTTTTCAGAAATGCAAAAAAAAAATCTAGGTTTCAGGGGTTTAAACTAGGATTGTTCAGGTAACTGAAACCACACATATATTTTTATTTGGCCTAAAGTTATTGATAACATAATTTGGGACAAGGTCTCTGGATGAGGGAATTAGAATCTGCAAATTTTACAACAAAATTCAATGTATCCTACCTGTTGTATCGTTACCATTACTTTCACTCCATGACTGTCCATCTATGGACACACATTCATGCAAAGCACCCTCATAAACCTGAAATTAAAGTAACAAGAATATGAACACCTTTGACTTAGCCTAAAGTATCATACTAAGTCATTCCTATATATCTTAAAAACTAATGTATAGTTTTTATATTCAAAAGAAAACACAAAATGAGATATCTTGCTGTTCAAATGGTTCTTAGGCCCAGAACAGTGATATTTTGTAGTGCATTTCTTAAGAATAATACATATAAATAAAAACATTCCCACCTGTGTTTTCTCAATGAGGTTTTCAGTGTAGTGTACTAGTCCGTCTTTAGGTGTGTATAGTACTCACTTTTTTACCCCCAAAAAGTTGTTGGTAGAGGAGTGCATATTATACACAAATATAGACGGTTTTTTATTTTTTTTTTTATTAATAGCGTTTTTTTTTCATTATTGTATATGTTCATATATTTTATTTCTTCATTTGTAATTTAAAAAAAAAGTTTGTTTTCCTTCTTTATTGAATACACAAGTACTGGTGTGACATCCTGCATGAGTGAGATTAAAATATAATTAAGGATTTAGTATGGGTGTGTAGCAATTGAATAATCATGTCAACTTTTGACAGGTGTTCAATATGAATGTAGGACAGAAAGTCACAGGACAAAAAGTCACAGACAAAAAGTCACGGACAAAAAGTCACAGGACGAAAAGTCACAATTCAGTTTTGAGATTATTTTTCTTTTAACAAGGAAACACTAATTTAAAAAATAATATTTTTGTTTTTTCTTGAAATACTATATATGAAGCAACTTTGTAATTAAAATTTATTCAATAAATATCATTAATGATAAAATAATTGTTATGAAAACAAAATGTCAAAGTGGCTTGGTACTTAAATGGCTTCATTGTGCCAAGAAATATATCCTTTGCATGATTAAAATTTAATACATTTTCATTTATCAAGGCTTATGAACAATTTCCTAAACTTAAAAATGAATATATGTAATAAAAAGAAAATATTTCAAGATCTTTCTCTTATATATTCAAACAATTGTCAACAAATTATTTGTGACTTTTTGTCCTATCAAATTTGTGACTTTATGTCCTGTGACCTTTTGTCCTGTGACTTTCTGTCCGTTTACCTTCAATATCATAACCTCAGGCAGTGCTGTAAATCAACATGATCAATGAAAAGGAAATAACGGATTAAAGAGTCATCAAATTTGAATTACTGCTAATCAACTTTGAATTATTTTTAGGTCTAATTTGTTTTGTTCCATAACATTCTAATTATTACTTTTATAATATTTGAACAGAGCATCAGCTTGGACAAGCTTAGACAAACATTGATTTCTAAAGGGATCATTAATTAATAACTTTACTTTTATCAAATTAATAAATGTTAATTACATGATAAAAGCTATACCATTTAATTGTTTGTGACTTTAAAAAAATTTGATTGAACAATCAATCTTATTATTTTTATTTTTCAATAGACTTAAATGAAGATTAAATACATGGTTTAATTTGTTCCAAATTAAATGCTTTTTACACTAGACTTAAAAAAAAAAAAAAAAAAAAAATTTACTTATTTCCTTTTAATTTTTTTTTAACTTCTTTTTAACTTTTTTTCATGTTTTTTTTAAACTTTTTTTTCATGATTTTGGAGAGATGAAAATGGGTGCGTATTATACACAACTGCATTCAATACACGGCTAAATACGGTACTTTTAGGACAAATTGAATCAAAATTATAGAAAAGTCTTCCTGCTCCAACTGAAATAAGGACAAGTTTATGTTATGGGGGTCTTTAATTCAGTTTTACAGTGTTAGACAAGCAGTCAAACCAATATTAAGCTATCACTCTTGGGAAGTATCAAAAGTGACCTCTCAAATGGCAAATAACCTCCACGGAAATGTGAAATGCCAATGCTAATTAAACTGCTTACCAAATACCATTGACTTTATATCATAAGTGGTTCCCTTTAAACTAATCTAAACAAAAAATTTCACTTGTAAACTATAGATGTAAAATTATAAACAAAAGTGAACCAATGCCTGGTAAATCTGCAGTACGGTAGAATCCCTGAATTGGATACCTATTTATTCATCAGGATACAAATAGTACAAATAAATAAAAGTAGAAAATCAGGTTGCCTAAATGCAACGTCATAATGTTACCATGGTTTTAAAACTTAAAGTGAAAGTGGAATGTAAAGTATAAATAGACTATGAAACAAAATAAATAGATTGTCAACATGAAAAAGAAAATAAAATAAATTGTTCATGAATAAAGTCTTTGTTCAAATATTTATGCTTAAGTTAATGTTTACTGAAAATGTTATAAATTGAATGCAAAAAAACGTGTCTGTCCCATAAATTTTCAGGAAGTTCATCCAGGCATACGGTTTTGTTACTGCTACTGGTGTTGAGGTCTATGTACGTTCATTGGTTTGGTCCATAACATATCCGTATTCCCAATGGCCAAAGCAGTTAAAAAATGGAAACCACCTTTTGAAGCTCTTCAAAAAAAAGAATGAAAAGGAAAAAAAAAAACACCTTTAGAATTGTAGCAGACAGCTCACCATATGATGACCAACAACCTTCAACATCTGGATCGAAAAAACCAACCAGCACCCTTGCACAAGACCTTAACCTATCTGACTCTGACACTTGGGTGTCCAGACAACTCATCTCAATATACCACCAATGAATATGGATCAGAGACCAAGAAGAAAGAGGATTCAGGGTTCGACATTCACTTTTATACCAACTTGTCCAGTTGGGCAAGTGCCCTATTACTTTAATTTTTACTTGTCCGAAAGTGAAATCTACATGCCCAAACTTTTACATGCTATTTTTGTGGTTGTAATGTAGTACATGCAGATAAAAAAAAGTTATCATGTATATGTTATGTAAATTGATTATGGAGTATGAATATTGATGAATTGAAAAGTCAATAATATTTCCAGAATCCCAGCTGTCTACTTACCAGAATTTCAACTCAAGAAGACTTAGAGACTTTGTCAATGCCATGCATGATGTGTCATGAACTGATTTTTTAATTAAGTTGAATCGAGAATATAATTTAAACTTTGAAACAATTTAATGAACCACACATTTTCAAATATAATAACATTTAGAGTATTCTTATGATTGACACAATTAGTCACTGAGTTAATTTTAAGATCAAACTATCATTCAGTTTTCTGAGTCATTTCAAAATTATACACATAAATGGAGTACTAGGAGTAGTAGTGTACAAATTAACTGCAAGTTTTTATTGTTAATGTTTTAAACCACATTCATCATGAAGTCAAAAAGGAGGGAGGGAAAAGATCGACAATATACGGGAATTGGATCATTAACATAGAGATACTTATTTCATAATAATTTATCTAAGAAATGCCATTTCAAAAAACCCTTCTTGATAAACTGACAACAACTGACAAATTTGTTAAAGTTTAATTTCATTTTCTCTTTCAAGCTTTTACATTTTTCCATCTTAGGGAAATACACATCCGATGTCAAATTCTAAAGTTAGAACAACGAAAATAGACCTCCCCTTTCCATTGGTTGGTGGGAATAACACGTGCGTCGGAAAAGCCAGAGTGGTGTCCCGATTGATAATGATAAATGATGAAGCAACGCCGCGGACGCCTGATTGGCCAATATTTTTAAACGTGATCTATTTTTGGTAAAATGGGGAATTCAGTGTGAACAAATGACCAAATATACCCATTGAAGGTGGGTTAAGACCACTTTACTCGACCGTGCGGTGTTATCACAGAGTAATCTATGGACAAAACAACAGACACTATTGATTTTGTGAAATTTTAATTATATAACACTTTTTTTTTTCACTTGCCCGATCGGACAACCAAGATGATGTTTTAACTTGTCCGAAATATGGCATTAACTTACCCCGGGCAATCGGACAACCGTAAGTGTCAGACCCTGGGATTTATTGAGAAAACCAAGACATCGGAAAACTTCATGACAAGCCGTATTCACTACATATATGTACTAGCCATGGTTAGGCCAAATAAAAGTATATGTAATACAGTATGGTTCCAATTAACCAACCGACCCAGAACTTTTTTTTCCATTTCTGAAAAATAATTTTCGAACGATCCCATTTTGTGGAATGTGAATTTCTATACAATGTAATTAAATTCACAGACCTCTGTCATCTGAATTTCCATCAGAAGTATCCACCATGGCTAAAATGCAACAAATTTTTAACAGAATGCAACAAAATTAACTAAAAACGTAACATATCTGTTTATTTTACAACCAAACATATAGAAAATGGCAAACTTCAGGAAGGGACGTGTATAATACTGGAATCCGACTTGGTAAACACACGATTTAAAAAAAAATATATGAAAACTAGAGGCTCTCAAGAGCCTGTGTCGCTCACCTGTATTTACTGATGCTTTGGAATTGGAAATTATGTAAAATAAGGTTAAAATCATAATTAATAGTATTAGATATTATAATGATATCTTAGATAATAACAAAAAACTGCAAAATTTCTGTAAAATTACTAACTCAGGGGCAGCAACCCAACAACAGGTCAGATTCGTCTGAAAATTTCAGGTCAGATAAATCTAAATCTGATGAACATTTTTGCCACCTGTCAGATTTGCTCTAAATGCTTCAGTTTCAGAGATATAAACCAAAAACTGCATTTTACCCCCATGTTCTATTTTTAACCAAGTCGCCCATGATGGTTGGAAGGCGGGGTCATCGGACAAATTTTTTAAACTAGACACCCTAATAATGATTATGGCCAAGCATGGTTAAATTTGTCTCAGTAGTTTCAGAGAAGAAGATTTTTGTAGAAGATTACAAAAATATACGAATAATTGTTAAAAAATTGAATATATTAAAAGGGCAATAAATCCTAAAGGGGTTGACTGGCAATTTTGGTCATGACGACTTATTTGTAGATCTTACTTTGCTGAACATTATTGCTGTTTACAGTTTATCTCTATCTATAATAATATTCAAGATAATAACCAAAAAGTGAAAAACTGCAAAATTTCCTTAAAATTACCAATTCAGGGGCAGCAACCCAACAACAGGTTGTCAGATTTGTCTGAAAATTTCAGGGCAGATAGATCTTGACCTGATAATCAGTTTTATTCTATGTCAGATTTACTCTAAATGCTTAGGTTTCAGAGATATAAGCCAAAATCTACATTTTACCCCTATGTTCTATTTTTAGCCATGGAGGCCATCTTGGTTGGTTGGCAGGGTCATTGGACACATTTTTTAAACTAGATACCCTAATGATGATTGTGGCCAAGTTTGGTTAAATTTGGCCCAGTGGTTTCAGAGGAGAAGATTTTTTTAAAAAGCTAACAACAACGGGCGCCAAGTGATGAGAAAAGCTCACTTGGCCCTTCGGGCTAGGTGAGCTAAAAAATAGTCCGACCTACCGACCCTATTTTTTTCAGGATGTAACTGGAACTACACATATACTTTTATTTGGCCTTAATGCAGATGTGTTACGAACAGTTCTTACAGAGATTGAAAGTGTTATTAACGATCGCCCAATAATGTTAAATTCGAATGATATCCAAGATCCAGAGCCATTGACACTGTCAATTTTATTACAAGGGAGGATAATATCGCCAGAGAACTCTCTAAACATAGAAGACAATATGATTAACACCAGAAGAAGCAAATAAACTTTTACAACGGAAACCAATCTTAAAAAAAGAACAGAGTTCCAATGTCCCCCGTGTTGCACATATTTTATCTCTCCAGGGGCAACAACACTTTTTTTTGTTGTTCTTTAAAACAATTTATAAATAAAAAGTGTGCACGGGGGACAAAAAAGTTTTTTTTATTATATACTAAATATTTCAAACAGACCTTCATGGGCATTACTTATAGTATACTTTAAGTTTTATAAAATATTGTATCCGTGAGAACGCTAACAAGGCCATTTTCCATAAATTCAATATTTCAAAGGGTCATAACTCTTTTTAAAAGAGTTGATCGTCCACCATTATACAACTTGTCCGAGATAATGCCCATATTAACCTATAGTATAAGTTTTATAAAAATCTGGCAAGAATTGTACCTGTGAGAGCGCTAACAAGACCGGACAGACGGTACTCATTTTGAGGCCCCCAGAATATTGTAAATTACTTTCTATTATTATAGATTGGACTACGTCTTCAAGTCGTTTAGCGCGGTAGGCACGTAACGGTATATTCCACATCACATCACTACTTAGCAATGATATAAAATTTGTGATCATATGTATAGTATTAGATAAAAAAAGATTACGTTATCAGGGCTGCCAAGTCTCACACATTTAGCGTGAGACTCACGCATTTTCATGCTTATTTCGTGGCATTTTCGGATCAACTGAACTTGGCGACGGAAGCAGGACAAATCGCCCCATTGGCAAATCGCCCCACACCAACTCGCCCCACTTTTTCACCAACTCGCCCCACTTTTAAAAAAATCGCCCCAAACTGGTTTACCAACTCGCCCCACTTTTTTAAAAAATCGCCCCACTTGTGAAAAGGGTTCAATCCCGTTAATTTTTCTCCTGCCAACTCGCCCCACTTAATGAAAAAAAGATAAAATCTAGATGAATATATAATTTTCGCCCCACTTAAATGAAAACTAATCTACACAGAATACATAAAAACGCGAAAATTTATTAGATTATTATTATTGAAATTAAATGATGTTTCACTTTCTAGTGCTGACATTTTATCTAGTACTTCGTTTTATGTTATCATGCCAGTGCTTGTCATAATTGATTAATGTATGTTTGATTAAAATGTAAAATTATGTTAACACACATGATTCTTGACTTATCTTATAAAACATTGAATATATTTACCAGTAAAAAAAACGTCACAAAAATGCTAATGCTTACTTCTTTCTGCTTTATTTCAACCAAAAGAAAATAACAAAAAAACATGATGCATTTCTTACGTTTTCACAAGTGGGGCGAATAGGCCTAAATTCATTACAGTTTTATTCTTTTATTCATAAGTGGGGCTAGTTGGTAGGCTTTAATTCTGTACATACTTTTATTTATCAGTGGGGTGAGTTGGCAGACATAAATTCAACGGCATTACTTCCTTTTTCATAAGTGGGGCGAGTTGGCATGACTCAATTCATCAGGATTTTTCTATTTTTCATAAGTGGGGCTAGTTGGCATTCAAGTCGCAGAAATACTGATACTCACTTCTTTCTGCTTTATTTCAACAAAAAGAAAAGAACTACAAAAACATGTTTATCTAAGGTTTTAATAGGTATTGATTTTATTTATAAGTGGGGCAGGAACATAGATATACAACGGGATTGCATCTTTTTTCATAAGTGGGGCGAGTTGGCATTATTGAATTCATCGTGGTTTTCTATTTGTCATGAGTGGGGCGATTGGCACACCTTATTTCAGCTGGATTTTAACCCTTTTCATAAGTGGGGCAAGTTATCCAACCTATTTTCAATGGGATTTTACCCTTTTTCATAAGTGGGGCGATTTTTTAGAAAGTGGGGCGAGTTGGTGAAAAAGTGGGGCAATTAGGTGTGGGGCGATTTACCAGTGGGGCGATTTGTCATGGATTCCTTGGCGACCACAATACTTGTATACTAGTATTGTCAACAATACTGGTATATAATTAATGTACAAGTATTGTATTTCCTTTGAATTTTACGATTTTGGCCAAATCTCACGCATTTGCATTATTAAAAGTTGGCAGAACTGCGTTATGTGAAGATATTCTTCATTATTTCAATAGAATATATGAATATGTCATGATATATGTATTTTTTATAAATAGTTATTCGTTCTATTTTACAGGTATCCCCTGCATCATATTAAAGTATAAAGGGAAAGGCTGTGCATCTTATATAAAATGTCCATGTGTCTAGCATAATTTGAAACAACAAAGGTCAAACCTACAAAATCAAAACAAATGAGTCGAGGGATCTTCGAATTTTTGTATTGATTGTTACCTCTTTAAAACATTTTTCCCATTGACATTTTTGGTTTTCATTAATTTCATAGGAACTTGTAGTCGCTTCTGTAGCCGAAATTATAATTTCTTCAATTAGAACATCTGTACACTTTCTACTTTTTACTTCGATTTTCGAAGGGCGGAAATCCGCCATTTTAAATATGCCGCTATTTCAAGGGTTACACTAATGTCCTGACAATGTCCTGACAATGTCCTGACAAAGTCCTGACGGATATGAAAATGCTAATTACGTTTTCATTATATAAAGGATTTACTTTAAATTTGGAACCAAGCAAGATGACAACATTAATCTAATAAATAAAAGAAAAAAAATTTAAAAAAATATTTTTAAGAGTTAGAAAACTTGACCTGACCAACTTCGACTTTGAAATCACTAATGTCCTGACCGATATGAAACGGCTAAATACTTTTTTATTATTCACAGGATAGACTTCAAATTCGATATCAAGGAAGATTAAAACATTTAATCCAAAAATATAAGAAAAAAATGAAAAAAAAATAATTTTTAGAGTTAGAAAACTTGACCTGACCAATACGATTTTGCCGCGACTAATGTCCGGACCGATATAAAACTGCTAATTTCTTTTTTATCTTTGGAAGGATTAACTTCAAATTTAGTAGCAAGGAAGATTTCGAAATTTAACAAAGAAATAAAAAGAAATGAAAAGAAAACAAATATTCAAAAGACCAAAAACTTGACCTGACCAACATAGGCTATTCACCAAAAAAAGACATGTTCGTTTAAAAAATAGAAAGACTATGTATATTTCTTAAATAAATGTCTTTAAGTTTGATAAATATCAATATTTTATTAAATATTTAAATGACAAAAAGAAAAAAATGTGAACAAGTATTGCAAGGGTAAAAATATATTGACCTGACATTGTCGAACTTGTCCTGATCAATTTTCTAACTGAAAGAAAATGTTAACCTCTTACCTTAAATTATTGAAATTGAAAATATCCGATCACAATGATATTACAACATTGAACGCAGAAAGATACTGTTGAAATGAAACGAAAGAGAAATATTAGAACCAGTTGCTGAATGTGAGTATTGCTTTTTAAAAGTGAACATTAGTTACTTACAGTTATAAATATAATACATATTTTGAGTCTCTTTCAAAAGTTTTCATAGTGCTCTAATACATACAACCTCAGTGCTTTTTATTCGAATTGATATATTGCTTTAGTGCTATTTTTCTTTGTATATAAATCTCCTTGCTTTTGTTTAGTGTAATTAATTGTAGAAAATTGTAAATATATTTTTTGTGCTTTTGTTTCATATTACTTGATTCTAATCATGTCTTCATTTCCAGTGCTGATTGCTGGCCATTCCCAGGCCAAGTATTTTAATCAATATTTATCTTTATCTGAAACTAATGTGCTTTCTTATTCAGGTTTTCGTATTGACCAGATGTTCAACGAACTGCAACCAACCATCGACAACTACAACACCGTGGTACTTCACGTTGGCGCCAACAACCTCTCCCGTGGTTCATCAGTAAAGACTCTACTCAAAATACAACATCAAGTACAGACTTTGTTAGGATTTTTGCCAGAAGAATTGAGTGTAGTTGTCAGTGTGGTAAACCAGATGTTTTTGAGAACATGATTGGATGTGAAGCGAAAAGAGGACGGATCAGCTGTACTAAGTGGGTTCATCAGACATGTTCAGGAGTTTCAGAAGATTGGTACTGTGATGAACATCGCGATGCTTGAACATTGTATTGTATTGTATTGTATTGTATTGTATTGTATTGTATTGTATTGTATTGTATTGTATTGTATTGTATTGTATTGTATTGTATTGTATTGTATTGTATTGTATTGTATTGTATTGTATTGTATTGTATTGTATTGTATTGTATTGTATTGTATTGTATTGTATTGTATTGTATTGTATTGTATTGTATTGTATTGTATTGTATTGTATTGTATTGTATTGTATTGTATTGTATTGTATTGTATTGTATTGTATTGTATTGTATTGTATTGTATTGTATTGTATCGTATTGTATCATATTGTATTGTATTGTATTGTGTTAACTCCTATATATTAGATATGAACGTTTTTCACTGTGGTAGGTAATCGTGACTAAATTGTTCTTCTCCATTTATCTTTATTGAACTCAATTTAATTGATTTGATTTTGATTTTTGGTGTTTTAACGCCACTTTTAAGCACCGCTTTTGGGCTATTTCGTGGCGGCCAGTTTTTATTGGTGGAGGAAGCCGGAGCGCCCGGAGAAAACCACCGACCTTCGATAGTAATTTAATTGAATGTCTTCTTTTTTTCTGTTAGTGAAAATTGTGTGTATTAATTTATTTTATTTCTTTGTGATTCTAACATAATTGTAATTTATATGCTTGTATATACATTGTTTTTAAACAATATGAATCTCATTTCCTGCCTTTATATGACATGTAAAGGCAGGATAAACAAAAAATAAATAATCAGATAGGAAAGAAAACATTCCAATTTGTGATTATAGTAATTAATATAGGTGTGATTTAATTTTAATGGTTCATATCACCTTCCTTTGCGTTTACTTTTATACAGTTTTTTTTATTTAATTGTTACATCAAGAAGAAAAAACCTTTCCATTTACTTAGTTATTAAAATCATTAATGTAGGTAACTAATTACATTTCACTTTTATAATTATTTAATTTGGTTTAATAATTCAATAATTAGTTTCATTAGTCACACTTATTAATCAAATCAAATGAAGTAGAGTTGTGATGAGGGGTAAACAATACTCACAGTCAGCAACTTGTACTCATATTTCCCCTATCTTTTCATTTAACAAAATTTATTTGCTTTGGATGTTGTGTTTTATGGATAAGATAAATATAAATTCAATGACAATATAAGGTAAGAACTAAAAACGTTTTTGTTTGTGTATTAAGTTTAATAAATTGAAGGTGGTTAGGTCAAGTTTTTATTTCGTATGAAATATTGTTTTCCAATTACTTTATAAAAAGTATTAAAAAGAAAACGTTATAATTTGACTTGGTTTCAAATAAGAACTCAGTCATACCAACAATGTTACAAGTATTAGCACTTTTATATCGGTCAGGACATTAGTCACGACAAAGTCGATGTTGGTCAGGTCAAGTTTTTTTACCCTTAAAGTATTTTTTTCCCAATTCTTTTCAAATAAGTATTAAATCAATATTACTTTCTTGTCTGGTGTCAAATTTGAAGTAAATCCTTCCAAAGAAAAAAAGGAAATTAGCAGTTTTATATCGGTCCGGACATTAATCGCGGCAAAGTCGTAGTTGGTCAGGTCAAGTTTTCTAACTCTAAAAATTATTTTTTTTCATTTTTTTCTTATATTTTTGGATTAAATGTTTTAATCTTCCTTGATATCGAATTTGAAGTCTATCCTGTGAATAATAAAAAAAGTATTAAGCCGTTTCATATCGGTCAGGACATTAGTGATTTCAAAGTCGAAGTTGGTCAGGTCAAGTTTTCTAACTCTTAAAAATATTTTTTTTAATTTTTTTTCTTTTATTTATTAAATTAATGTTGTCATCTTGCTTGGTTCCAAATTTAAAGTAAATCCTTTAAATAATGAAAACGTAATTAGCATTTTCATATCCGTCAGGACTTTGTCAGGACATTGTCAGGACATTGTCAGGACATTAGTGTAACCCCTATTTCAATGCGCATGCGTATTTACCACTACAACAAATAAGGAAACAGACACGAATTGCTTTCGTTTTATAAACACTTTAAACGTGCCAGTTGTTGACCTTCCACTATTGATGTTCGAAGTCCAAAAAAAAGAAAAGAAAATGGCAGCCCGACTGAAAACTCTATTTGGACACATTCAGGAACATAAGACACCAACTGACGTCTCAACAGTCTTAACCCATGCTAGTCCATACACTGTATCTTATAAGTATACTCTGAATTCACCAAGGTTAACAGAAAAACAGAGACAGTTCTATGAAGATTATGGGTATCTGGTCATCAAAAAACTTGTTCCTGAGTACAGTTTGCAGAAATATAGAGAAAGATTTGAACAGATATGTAAGAAGGAAGTTGTAGTACCTGGTTTGACCATCATGAGGGACGTTGCTATTTCAAAAGATGAGTTTGTACCAGGACAAAAGGCAGTAACCAAAATCCAGAACTTTCAGTTAGATGAGGAATTGTTTGAGTATTGTAAATTGCCAGAGGTGTTGGATTATGTAGAAGCTATTGTTGGAAGCAATATCAAGGCCATCCATACTATGTTGATTAACAAACCCCCAGACCCAGGAAGGAAAACCTCCAGACATCCAATGCATCAGGATCTGCATTACTTCCCAATGAAACCAGCAGAGAAGATAGTATGTTCCTGGACTGCAATGCAAAAAGTTAATCGCGAAAATGGTTGCTTAGTTGTGCTTCCTGGTACACACAAGGGGAAATTACTTAAGCATGATTATCCTGAATGGGAGGGTGGTGTTAATAAAATGTACCATGGTGTGAGAGATTATGATCCCAGCATGCCCCGTTCACACCTTGAGATGGAAGCTGGCGACACAGTTTTCTTTCATCCTCTGTTGATACATGGATCAGGAATGAACAGGACAAAAGACTTTAGAAAGTCCATTTCGTGCCATTATGCCAGCAGTGAAATTGAATTTGCAGAACAGGATTCCCAGAGTACAATATCTGAGGAATTACTTGATTTGGTATCTAAGAAGTTCAAGGTTCCCAGGGAAAGCATTAAATATGAGGACATATGGAAAATCAAAAGCCGTACTGTTAAAGGACGTTCTGATTGGTAAAGTGATAGTTACATTTTCTAAAGCATTAGTCTAAATAATACATGTGATACATGTTGGTGTGACTTTACTTTTTCCACATACTTATTATTTGGACATCATATATTTATGATTTAGTTCTGATATATTGTTGAAATTACATTTGATTTGACTCGAATGAAATGAAAAAAACTTGATTTATATGCTAAATTGCTAGCTTTACTTTGATTCAAGTATGTATAGATTTTATACATTTGTAAATTAGTAATTTTTGTTGTAAATTTTAATTTATTTATGATCATTTGTAATATTGTTTTTTCTATAAAATGAAAATATGATTGTTTTGAAATGTTTTAATCTAAACGTTTAAATTTATTTATTCTGAATATTCTATTGTACAATGTAGAAAGGTTTAGGTTTTGGTATTGATAGTTGAGCTAACAGACAGAGTTTTTCAAATCTTTTTTTTGTCTGAACTCCCAGCAAAATACATGAACACATGTACCTTACTAATTTTTAAATTTAATTTTCACTAAGAAATTTGATATTTGCAAATTAAGAATTTTCTGTAGCTGCATCAACAGTCTGATATTTTTTATAAGCAGAAGATTTAAAGGTACAAAAAATGTATATTTTCAAGATGATGCCAATTCAATATACCCAGTTTTACAACCATAGTGATACAATACTATAGGTTTTATCAGAAGTCCTGGTTTTATTCAATTTAATATTTTATTGAAAAACGAACATCAGAGGTGTGATCCAATTAAAAAATGTACATTATACAAATAAACTGACTGTACAAACAAATCTTATCAGTTTACATATATGGTATGAATAACAAATAACTCATGATTTTAACATCATGTTTAAGGTCTTTAATAAAGATCACACTATTTTGTCTTTAAATTAACAAGTACTGCTAAAAACAAAACCTAAATATTTTATAAAATTTGACACATTGTACATGTATATTACTGAAGCCAATGAAAAAAAATATGTTTCAATAGATTATAATTGTAACATAATTATTAAAAATGATTACTTTTGTTTTATTTGTATTTATTTCCATTCACCAATCTTGACAACATTTGTATAAGGTGTCAAGCTGCTGTTGGAGACCTTGTCTTGAAATTGAAGATAGAAATTAATCATTAGTATAGAGCAAACACAGAATATTTGTGTCATTGTCCCCTGCACGACTCCTAGCATCTGTTGTCTGTCATGCATCCGTCTGTCCTTTCTTGTAAGCCCTCTAACATGTACAATTCTTGCAAGATATTTATGAAATTTGTATCAAGGTTTATATATCGGCAATGTTTCATACAAGTTATAAAATCAATTTGAAGCTACCATCTTTAATTTAAAGGAGGTATGGTCCTTGGAAATACAAACATGTATATAAAATAAATGGAAAATTGCATTGTTAGCACTCTCAAGTGTTCAATACTTCCCAGATATTTTATGAAATGTACTAAACTACTATCAAAGGTTATATATCACCAATTCCTCTGAAGAGTCGAACATTAGTGCGCAGTTTAACTATTTTTATAGAAGTTATGCCTTTGGAAATACAAATTATATGGAATTTTAAGCACTCACACCTACATTTCTTGTAGGACTGTTTTGAAATTTACATCACAGGTTTTTATCAGCAATGTCTGGGACAAGGTAAAAACCCAACACTGATCACCGAAATCAGAACAGACATCCACAGGTCAATCACACCAAAATCAGAACAGAAATCCACAGGTCAAACTCACCATGTCAGAGCAAACATCCACAGGTCAAACACACCAAGTCAGAACAGACATCCACAGGTCAAACACACTAAAATCAGAACAGACATCCACAAGTCAAACACACTCAAATCAGAACAAACATCCACAGGTCAAAGACGAAATTCAGAAGAGACATCCACAGGTTAAACACACCAAAATCAGAACATGCATCCATAGGTCAAACACACAAAAATCAAACCAGACATCCACAGGTTAAACACACCAAAATCAGAACATGCATCCATAGGTCAAACACACAAAAATCAAACCAGACATCCACAGATCAAACACACCAAAATCAGAACAAACATCTGCAGGCCTAACACTAATCAAAACAGGCACCAATACTAAAATTTAAACATAAATCCACAGATCTAACACACAATATTTACAAGACTTCCACAGGTCAATCACACCAAAATCAAAACAGAAATTCACAGGTCAAACACATCAAAATTAGAATAGACATCCACAGGTCAAACACGCCAAAATCAGAACAGATATCTACATGTAAAACAACAAAATAGTACTAGACATCCACAGGTCAAACTTATCAATATCAGAAATGACGTCTGCAGGTCAAAGACACCAAAATGAAATCATACATCCAAATACACAAAAATTAGAACAGACATCCACAAGAAAAAGACACCAAAATCAGATCAGACATCCAAAGGTCAACACACCAAAATCAAAACACACATCCACAGGTCAAACACACCAAAATCAGAACAGAAATCCACAGGTCAAACACACCATGTCAGAGCAAACATCCACAGGTCAAACACACCAAGTCGGAACAGACATCCACAGGTCAAACACACTAAAATCAGAACAGACATCCACAAGTCAAACACACTCAAATCAGAACAAACATCCACAGGTCAAAGACGAAATTCAGAACAGACATCCATAGGTCAACCACACCAAAATAAGCCTAGACAACCACAAGTCAGTACATACATCCACAGGTCAATCACATAAAAAAAAATGACATCCACAATTCAAACACACCAAAATAAGAAATGACATCCACAGGTCAAACACCACAATCAAAACATGCATCCAAAGGTCAAACACACCAAAATTAGAACAGAAATCTATAAGTCAAACAACATAATCAGACTAGACATCCACAGGTCAAAAACACCAAAATCATAAATGACATCTACAGGTCAAACACCAAAATCAAAACATAAATCGATAGGTCAAATATACAAAAATTAGAAGAAAATAAACAACCACAGGATAAACACACCAAAAATCAAAACGGACATCCAAAGGTCAAACACACCAAAATCACAACAGAAATCTACAGGTCAAACACACCAAAATCAAAACAGACATCCACAGGTTAAACACACCAAAACCAAACAGACATCCACAGGTCAAACACAACAAAATCAAACCAGACATCTACAGGTCAACCACACTAAAATCATAAATGACATCCACAGGTCAAACACACCAATTTTAAAATATACATCTATAGGCCAAACACACCAAATTTAAAACAGACATCCAAGGTCAAAACACAAAAATCAAACCAGACATCTACAGGTCAAACACACCAAAATCATAAATGACACCCACAGGTCAAACACACCAATTTTAAAACATACATCCATAGGCCAAACACACCAAAATCATAAATGACATCCACAGGTCAAAAAACAACAAAATTAAAACAGACATCCACAGGTCAAACACACCAAACATTTTGGACTCCTGACATTAAAGGACATTGGCCAGATAATTTGTCATTATGTATATGTATAATAGAATACTAAATTTTTACCAGACAAGTCAGTCATAGGAATCACTAACATTTTGATTTTGATTTTTATTTTTGAGAATGAATTATGACAAGAAATGAAGACATGTGAGCGCTCAATATCCCCTGATACTGCACATGTTTTATTACAAGAGCTCCAATAATTTTTTTGGTTCTTATAAAACTTTTGCAGAAAAAAATTACCAGAAATGAAGACATGGGAGCACTCAAAATGCAAATTGCTATATGATTTTTATTTCAACGGGGCAAAACTTCCTTAAAAATAGTTGTCCTGTGCTGGTTTTGAATTTTTCAGAAAAATTGCCTATATAAACCTTTGATGTAAATTTCATAAAAATCTGACAAGAGATGTGGGCAAGACAGTGCTTCCAAGACTAGATGGAAGAATCGGACAGAAGCATAGAAAACATGTAGTTTTTCTTAGAAAGTGAAATTAAGACATTTGACTAAAAGAAAATATAAAGAAGAAATGTTTTATCTCTGTTGATTAAATAACAGGATTTTCAAATTTGAAGTATCAAAAAAAAAGTCTCATTCGCAAGTGTATAAAGCTCAAATTTTTTCTGTAGAGTTGCTTAAGGATGTACTTAGGTGAAATTAAATAAAATGCTCCGCTGGGCGCAGCTTCATACGACCGCAGAGGTCGAACCCTGAACAGTTGGGGCAAGTATGGACACAACATTCAAACTTGATACAGCACTGAATTTGGATTGTGATTAAATATTTGACACAGCATAGGTTTCTGACACAGAATGAATGTGGTCTAAGAACTTACATTTTTTTAATTTACCTATTCAAACCATATCATGATTATTTGCTTTTATATATAAATCAGAAATAACCAATTTAAAATGGAAAATTTTAAAGAAAAAAAAGGAAAAGAAAATCCCCCCCCCCAAAAATTTTTTGAACCCCCTTATGATTCATCACCCCTTAACTCAATCCCAGCCTTCCCTTTGTGGTATGGTACCTTGCAGTACAATTTCATAGAGATCCATACACTTGAACACAAGTTATTATCTGGAAACTAGAAAAATGCTTGTTTTTTGGCCCCTTTTTGGCCCCACATTCCTAAACATTTAGGGCAATTACCCCTAAAACTCAAACCCAGCTTTCCCTTTGTGATATGGAACCTTGTAGTACAATTTCATAAAGATCCATACACTTACACACAAGTTATTGTCCTGAAACTAGAAAAATGCTTGTTTTTTGCTCCCTTTTGGCCCTTAATTTCTAAATTTTCGAGGCAATTACCCCCTAAAATCAATCCCAGCCTTCTCTTTGTGGTATGGTACCTTGCAGTATAATTTCAGAGAGAGATCCATACACTTGAACACAAGTTATTGTCTGGAAACTAGAAAAATGCTTATTTTTGGCCCCCTTTTGGCCCCTTATTCTTAAAACGTTTTGGGCAATTATCCCCAAACTCAATTCCAGCTTTCCCTTTGTGATATGGAACCTAGTAGTACAATTTCAGAAAGATCCATAGACTTACACACAAGTTATTGTCATGAAACTAGAAAAATGCTTGTTTTTTGCCCCTTTTTTGGCCCCTAATTCCTAAAATTTTGAGGCAATTACCCCCAAAATCAATCCAAACATTCCCTTTGTGATATGGAACCATGCAGTTCAATTTCATAGAGATCCATGCACTTGAACACAAGTTATTGTCTGGAAACTAGAAAAATGCTTATTTCTGACCCCTTTTTGGCCCCTTATTCCTAAATTTGGGGCAATTACCCCCAAACTCAATTCCAGCTTTCCCTTTGTGATATGGAACCTTGTAGTACAATTTCAGAAAGATCCATAGACTTACACACAAGTTATTGTCATGAAACTAGAAAAATGCTTGTTTTTTGCCCCTTTTTTAGCCCCTAATTCCTAAAATTTTGAGGAAACTACCCCCAAAATCAATCCAAGCATTCCCTTTGTGGTATGGAACCTTGTGTTACAATGTCAGAGAGATCCATACACTAACACACAAGTTATGTCTGGAATTTACAAAAATGCTTATTTTTGGCCCCTTTTTGGCCCCTAATTCCTTAACTGTTGGTACCATAACCCCCAAAATCAATCCCAACCTTCCTTTTGTGGTATTGAACCTTATGGTAAAAGTTCATAGAGATCCATTAACTTAACCTAAAGTTAGAGTGCGAAAACCAATGTGTCTTCGGACGACGACGACGCCAACATCATACCAATATACGACCACAAAATTTTTTTGCGATCGTATAAAAATCTAGAATTTAAAATTGATACTATAAGTCAGAAGAGCATTAGTTAAGGAACAAAATAAGCTAAAAATATTGATAAGTTATGGAGCTCCTTTGCGAGATATTTGATTCTTTTAAATGGCGGGAAAAGGCCGACTCTGACTTTTCCTTATATTTGCATTGGTATTATTTGAGTCTCAAATCGAAAGGAAAGAAATCAAGAATCTGCTTAAATTTTGGTAAATGACCTTTTATGAGCTATTGAAGTCTTATATGAAAAGAAAAATGGGTGTTATGGGGCAAAATATTTTACCCTGTATCGTAGGAAAAAAACTAAGGAGTAAGAACCTCTGACAAATATTCCTAAACCTAAGTACATTGTTAAATTTTCATAAGTGGTTCCTTTCAACAGTTTCAACTGACCTAATCATAATAAACTTCATTTGTTGACACTTATGCAGAAACAGCATATCTAAGTCTAACCTCCATGACTTTGTAGAGGTGAGACAAAAAGGCAAATCAAATACAGCTTGTAGCATAGATTTATTAATGATACTGTCTTGGACAAATACATGATATGATGATAGTAATGAGCTCAGCCCACGTTATGTTACAATATTACATAAGCAAATAGTAAACTAATATTTAAACATAAATTTTATACTTACATTCAAGTAATATACTATACACAACAAAGTTTTATATCCTTTAACAATACAGGTATTTGTGAATAATAAAAAAAAAAAAAACAGGATTAAAATAATTAAAAAAATACATCTTTAAAACATGTTTAACACATTGGTAATTATACTAATGAACTGCATGTAAAAAAAAAGTTAGTTTTGTCGTTGAAATTCAGTCAAGCCTGTATATAAAGGTCATTCTCAAGACCATAAAATACTGACCTTCTAGAGAAGACCTTTGAATTGAGATTTAAATGCAGATATTACTACAGTGGGACAAGCAGTTGGTGACCTGACAAGACAGGGTATTTGCTGATTAGAAATGACCTTTATTGCAGGTTTGACTGTAAGTTCTTAGTGCATTCGTGAAATAATGTGTTGTTAAGTCACTTGTTTAATATTTGTCAACATTGGAATTCTTGGATAAGTAACACATAAAAATTAAAAAAAAAAAGATAAGTCAGTATGCTTCTCGTACTTCTAAAAAAAAATATTTCACTGGATTTTGCATGAAAAATATATGACTTTGAGGTAAAATATCTGTCAAACATTACCAAAAATGTGGAACCAATTTAAAATGTGTTGTTAGATATGAATTTAAGATATATATGTTTAAAATGAAAAATAAAAAAACAACAATGTAAAGATTGAGTGGCATGAGATAGAAAGAAAAAGGAATATTCAAGTAAATAGAAATAATATGAAGGATTCATTCCAATGTAAACAATAAATTCAGACATGAGGTAAAACTTGAACTGTAGAATATTTCACAAAATAAATAAAATAATTTACCTAAGACACATTTGTTTACACTGGACATACTTCTATGATGTCAAAATGTTTTTATGACATTTTCATGAAAAAGTTTTGAAAAACACATTTCATTAATTTCAAATTTATGCAATTCTAAACTATAAACAAAGGCAAATAAAAGAAAACCATAAGAGTAAATGAAGGCAAATTAAAATTTAATTTTTCTCTGGTTCTGATAAGAAAAGTTCTCATATCTTTTCGCTTTTTCTAAAAAAGGGAAATAACTATTCATATGAAATTATGCAAAAATATGACACAAAACAAAATTTATTTCATAAATGATTTCAACTATGATATAAATATTTATAAAAATGAATCTTGGGTATCTTAAGATACAATTGCATGTGACTCACCTCAATATTAACCAATGAACAGCGATAAACAAAAACTTAAAAAAATTCATTATTCAAAAAAATTACAAAGAAACTACTGTGCTAAAAATCAATTTCGCTTGAACACAATTTCACACTTCCAGTTATTTTGCTAGCGCACGTCATTTTTGTCATTTATGAAAAGTTTTCAAAATGACGAAAGTTTTTCAAATCATTTTCGTCACTTAAATTTGAAAAGTGTAAAAATATTTTGGCATGAAAAAACTATAATTCTACCTGTCTTCATGTTTTTGACAAGTTTATGACCCTCATCTAATTGACGTTTACAACAGGTGTTATCAGTTGTGATTATCGCCATCGGATGGGTCACTTATTATTTAATTAATAAACCTCATAAATTATTGACCATCATACTTAATTTTCCCTGTAATATCGGTAAGTAGGCATTTTAATTTCAATATTTTCAAACGACCACAATTTGCAGTTTATTTATCATAGTTTTTCGTCATTTGACCAAAACGTTTTCCCCTGCGGACAGTTCGCATTTTAATTATGATTATGCAGTCATTACATGTTCATTTATGCTGTGATTCCTGGTTTATAAAAAAAGGAACCCAACTTTTGTTGATCAGGAATATCCCCTGAAAATAACTGAAGTGAAATTGTAAACTAGAAATCCGGGTCCTTATTAGATCTTATTATAATCTTCATATTTAAGCACCACATCTATTAAATTATGCAATAACTGCCTGCCCATGCCTAAGTCCTTCAAATATGTATAGCTAGTAATACATATCTTTGGTCCATTGCTTTTACCCCAAAAAAGGTTGATTTTCATCTCGCGCAAAAGTGACTAAAGCCCTCAAAATCCTAGCTGAAAGCCTGACACTTCATTTATTCAAACAACCAATCAAATCACATTCTAGATATTAACCCATTTTCACATTATTAGAAAGTAAAGTAATAAATTATGTATGATGATTTTCATTATGTAACACCAACATTTAAAGCTTTCACACATTTTAAATATGAAATGGAAGACTTTCATGAGCTATAATCATGTAAGATACAATAAATATCTTATCACACCTCAAAAAATTTCACAATGGATCACAACTTGGAATAAATGTTTTAAAAGATAAACCTTTCAGATGTTATCCAATATTTAATTTTTGCAAAAGCCATTCTGAAAATAGATGGGTACTATGAAACAAAAACTACTGTCTAATCTCAGGTAAAATTTTAATTGTCAAGTTACCTGCACTGCCCACCTTACATAATTTCCCCAATAGTAAATTTAATATCATCACTTTAAAGTTGAAATGTCATTTGAAAGAAAAAATGTCTTAAAAAACAAAAAAAGATTTCCTTTAAGTTTAAGTAATAGTAAGAAGACAGATTTGTCATAAAAATAAAATCTCACTAATTTCTTTTCATTCTGTTTTAATGTTTCTTTGTAAAATCACAAAAGTTATTAAAAAATTGTTTTGAATATCTGCATGTCTGAGGAATTTTCACTTTGCATGTATTATGATTGTAAATTGCATAATACAAAATATATGCACAACTTGATTTAAATGCATATGTGCGAGTTATTTCCCCTAGCTGCACTATTTACAGTGCTTTCTATAGGAAAATTTTTTAATTGCCCAATGTGTAATATGAAAATGCTCTTTTTTTAATCCTGTTAAAAAAATAACATCTCACATCAACCTAAATATAACTTTAATGCCAAGTGTTAGACTGAAGGAAAAAAGATTGGTAACTCTGGAGGTAATGTTGGCAAATTTTTGGCAAATTTCAGAGTTTCTCCCCAAAAAATACTGAATTAAAAATAAAAAGGGGGAAGATGATGACAAAAAGGTTCTCAAAACCAAAAGTAATTGAAAACAGACACCACCAATGCCAAAAGAAATGCATAACAAGACAAAAAAAAAGTACACAAAACACTACACAGAAAACTAAAGATGGATAAAAAAAAATAAACCCCATCAAAAAACAAAGTAAGCCACCAAGATGCAAACAAATTTGACTTGATTTTTCTGAAAACATAAAACAAGTTAATATATGCAACATACCATTGTGACAGAAAACAACAACATCATTCATACTCCACGTAATAATAACAGCACCTAATTCATATGTACATATACCCTAACTATAAAGTTCTATGACAATCTGTTGTATAATACCAATCTTTACATAATTTATATATACTCTTTTTAATCCATATTTACATTTATATAAAAATATTTTTACATATCACAGATATTGATTTTGTTCTTTCTAATAAATTCAATTATATAGGTTTTTCATCATAAATTTAAATAAATGCCATTAACAAATCACACAACTTTTTTCACAGATCTGAACTCACCATGCTAAAAAAAAAAACCAGTAAAACAATGCCATGAACCAGTTCAAAAAAGCCTAGAAGATTTATTGTGTTACCTCAATGTCTGACAAAAAAGGAAATGTATACTGAAACTGCACGACCAGTAGAATTTTTAGTGTCCACTTTGTGTTTAATGTGATAGACCCATGTTTTTCATAAAAATCTAATTCCTCAAATTATCATTGTTTGTATTGTAAAATTATTGAATTTGTATTATACAATAAAATAACTTTAGATAAATTACAAAACATTCATTGCTTATGAGGTTATCAACTTATCAAAATTTATTGTTGAATGCTTTAGAAAATATTACCCCGAATGCCCCAGATCCTGGAGTACTAATACACTAACATCAACAACTACCCTAAACTTCTCTTTAATAAAAGATGACAATGGTTATTAATTGTATAAAAATAATGATCTAATGTGTAATCTTTAGCCTGTATAATTCCCAAAATTTGTCTTTAGTGTAATCGTTGGTTTGACTGGTATGCTGGTTGTTTTAATGTCATGTGAATTAGATTTAGATACTGCTATTTGTTTTGCTGTTTGACTGAGTTTTATAGCACTTTCAAGTTTTGATTTAAGAATAGATTGTCCAGCCATTATTGTACGGAATTCCGTTGGATATTGTGGTCCTATTTTCATCAATCGTTGTAATGAATCTTCATGGAGTGTTCTCCTCGCTGTAGATGCACTGTCAAAATCATCCAATAGAAATGAAACAAGAATAGGAATAAATATAGTCAGCACTGTTAATTCTGAAATAAAAAAAAAATAAATTACAGGTATGTTTCATAAGAATCTGTAGTTATGATTCCAAACTTATATGCTATATTTTATTACTCAATAAAACATTTATGACTGCATATGCTTTCCATGAAAAGGCCAAAATGCATAGGAAAACAAACACAAAAGTTCTTACAAAATGTGCTACAGTCAACACTTTAACACAAAATAAAGTTAGAAGAAGAAGCATTCAGTACTTAAATAAAAATCGTATTTTGCATCTGTTTGGTATGCTATCAAATGAAAATAAAGATCCACTTTTAAAAAGTTTTAAAAAATCTTTTCTTTTTTCAATTTTCAGATAAAGAGGCCATTGATTAATATAAGGGATATTGCGTTAAAATGGACGGAAGAGTAGGAAAGAATTATCATTAGACATGGGTCATTGGTTAATTTATGGCTGTGGGTCTATTTGATGTATGAAAAAATGATTGATTGATTGGTGATTGCATTACTTTGCATCAGCACAAAAAGGCTAAATGCGGTAAGGGAAAATGGAAGAAAGTATGTTGGTTGTTAGATACTGGGTGTCCCTTCTACAATCACATATCCAATGTAATGGAATAGCCCTAAAGTAGGTGAGGAAATACTGACTTACTTTTATCATCATCAGCTAATGGCACTAATGATTCAAACGCACCCAATGATGCTTTAACAATATTTAATTCATCATCCACAACAGCTACATTGTCTTTAACACGTAACAAATATTCGGCTAACTTTGGAGCGAATCCTTTAATGAAGCCACCAGCACGCTCTTTACCTAAATGTTGTATTACTGAGGTAAACATCTGAATACTTTTAAGTTGAATCTAAAAAAGAAAGGATTGTAAATTAACAACAAGAATATAAATGTTAGATATCTTTTCACTTTAAATTTGAGATTTTAACATGCATGCTAAAGCTTGTGTAATCTCTAATGGAGACAAATCATAACTAAATAGAAGAAAAAACAATATATATCCTTACCATTTATACCCCAAAATTAGTATTCTTCATGATTAAACTAGTTAGTAAATAATAGAAGTAGTAAATAAGACAAAATTATGTGTTTTGCTCATTGTTGAAGGCTGTACAGTGACATATAGTTGCTAACATTAATGTCATATGGTATCTGGTTGATAGTTGTGTCATTAACAATTATACCCATCTCATATTTTCACAATGAAGGTTACAGGATATTTTTTAGGATTTAACATTAGTTTAAATTTTTACCTATTGTTTTTGTTTGTTTTGTTCACACATCGTTATCAATATAATGGAATTTGATGCGACTGTCATACAAGTGAGAGGTTTAGCTAGCTTTAAAACCAGGTTCAATCCACCATTTTCTACATAAGAAAATGCCTGTACCAAGTCAGGAATATGACAGTTGTTATCCATTCGTTTGATGTGTTTGTTTTTTTGATTTTGCCATTTGATTGGGGACTTTCCTTTTTGAATTTTCCTCGGAGTTCAGTATTTTTGTGATTTTACTTTTTATACAATAGCTTGTTAATGCAGAATTATATTTATTTACCCCATGGAGAGAATAAGTATAAATACCTCATATATATGAGAGGCCCAAGTGTTTAGAAACATATCCAAACATTGATTCCTGATATCCATACAGTCAACAATTTCTGGCGGTGCATATAACAAAAATATTGTAACAGTTCCTAATAAAGTTACATCTTCCATGGCCGGTTTCTCTTCAGCTGAAAAAGATGAAAAATAGGGTTGGAATTCAAACGCAACCATAAATCAGAACCAAAATCAATATGACCTGCAGTATTGGAGATGGATGACTATATATATCATGGAATTATTATGATTCTAATAGGACAAATACGGTAATTTAAAAACTGAAGCGAAGGTAAAGAATGCCGTGGGTATGGCTGTTCTAATTTACCCCCTGTAAGATAAACGCTATAAATTTCAAATAAATCTAAGTCTTGCACGAATCATTTCATAAATAACTACTAGAAAAAAATGTGTTTAATCCTTATAAATCTTAACCCAAACATTTTTTTCGTTGGCTACTATTTACTGTCAAATCCACAATTGACATGTCGTAACTAAGGAGTGAGCCGCCATGTTGACTTGCTGAAATCCACAAATGTGCGAATAATGCAATAGAATAGAAAATGAAACAACGCCTACCTCAAAACTCCATTTTAATGCGATATTATCCGAACTTATGGCGTATACGTATTGGAAAAACCTTCAGCTTGAGAGTTTTCATTCATATGACATCATGTTATGACATGACGTTAATGCGCCAAGATCATTCATGAAATTTCGCGGAATTTTATTTGATTTTGATTTTATACATTTTTTAAGCTCTTGTGCATTTATTCTTTTTGCTACGCAGTAGGCTAGGAATAACAGTTCTGTAGTTTCAATTTCAATTTCAATTTGAACACAACGAAATCGACATAGTGTTTGCACATAGGTTACGATACATGTGGATTTACGTGGGAGGTGGATAATAACAGCCATTAAAATGTCATCTCTGAGTCTGCGCTAAGTATAGATATATCGAGAATTTTATCACACTGTTGTTTAAAGAAGCGAAAGAAGCACGTCATATTAGAATTGTTATTTTTAAATGATATGTTTACTTGTCATGTATTATGTTATGCACTGCCAAGAGAGTAAATATAAGCTGAGTTTGAAAAATTGAAAAGACCACAAACAAATAATAAACACATAAAAAAAAAAGTGTTACAATGACACTTGTTACTGTCCCAAATCACAAACTTTGTTAGCAATTGCCTTGTTAGTGTTTTAAGTCCTTAATGTAAGTGCTGATATCTGATTTTTGGTAGTCCCTATTAAATTACTTACAACATTTCTATATTGAGGGTATTGAGGGTATTTTAAATGTGACTGACATATGGGATAGACATTTGTCTACTGTGTATTATGTTATGCTGGAGACTTTTTTTGTGTATTTTTCTATTGCTGTGTTATTGTTGCATGCCTTAAATTTTCTTTTATTCATATTTTTAGGATAAATGAAAGTTACATGAAACACTAAGAACACAATAACAGTTTAACTGTTTGATCTGTAGGATGCCTGCTGGAAGCTCTTCCCTGTATTCTCTCATTTTAAAGTGGTTGTGAAAATCAGCTACCTATTTGTTTAATGAACTTCCATTTCTAGAATTTACGAGCCATACTTAAAAATATTTTCCACTGCTAACAGATAACAGAAGACTGATGAAAAATTATGGTCCCAGTGAGCAAAAATCAGTATGAGAAATGGACTTACTTTGGTTAGCACTATTGAGAACAGTTTTGAGAGCACTCTGTAATAACTGTGACCATCGTCCAGAGATGGAGTCGTCAGATAGGAATGATGATGTACAAAGTGATTTCAGCGTGCATAAACATGAGCTAACAACAGCAGGTGATTTCCTCTCGGCAGACTTGGAAGACATTTCTCGTAACACACCCGTAATTAAATATAAAACTGTAGGCAGGACATTTGTACTACCTGAAACAATAAAGGCAGATAGTAAGGAAGTGTTTTAAAGTTTTCTTCTATACCTTTTCATATGTAACAAAGAAAAATAACTGAGTCAACAATTATTAAAAATGCTGTTATTTTAAGACTAAGACATGCATTCTTTATGACTAACCTGCAGGTGAACACAGACTGGGCAGATCTCCTAGTACAGACACTACTGCAGCCATCAGCTGACAACATTCGTCTGACAAACGTCTTGCAGGAGTCTGGAAACCAGTAGTGGGAGCTGAGGGGTTCAATACAGGGATGTGTTTTGATATGACACACATGCAGGCCTCTAATGCAGCAAAGACGAGAGATTTTCCTTGTTCAATTTCCCCTGATTCACCTCCTTCTCCAACTGTAATGTTACTATCTGTGGTATCCATGGACTCTGTACTACTCTCTGTACTCACAGGGGATTCTTTCTCTTAAAACATACAAGTAAACAATGACAAAATCTTATAATCCCTCCTATAAGAGTAATTTCCCCTTAAGTGTTATAAAATTGGATTTAAAACCAAAAATGCATAAAATTGGATTTAAAAAAACTTTAATGACAAAAACGTGTTTTCTGCAAAATGAAATTTCTGTTTAAATACTCCTTGTTTCATGATATGAATGGTGAAAAGATTTTTAATTGCAAGAAACAATTGGCTTGTAATTGTCCATTTGGCCAAGATGACAGACAGAAGGAGAGAACTTGTAAAGTGGAAACTTTCATCTTACTTAGGGCTATTCTAATAAGAGAATGGATTTCCAAAAATTCCCATACTTTCTTTGTGTAAATTTGCATACATCAAATGGACACATAACAAATAAGTGAGCCACAACCCATGTCCAATAAAAAATAAAAATCCCTTCATATCCCCCCCCCCCCCCCCCCCCCCCCCCCCATTTAATTTAAATGGAATAGCCCTGATCACAAGTCTGAGACAATATACTGTACCTTTATAAAAGATTTTCTGTGAATCTAAGAAATCCGTGTAACTAAGGATTACTTGCTTAACTACATCCACAGCTACTAAATGAAGTTGTAAATTCTCTCTTGTTAGGAATGTTCTGTAAACAAACAATTAAAAAAAATAAAAAAATAAATAAATAAATAATAATAATATAAATCAACAACTTTCAAATTTGTTAACTATTTGTTTAAAGGAAATCATTTCATCATTGTCAATTTATTTTCATCAGGAAGAAAAACAATTCAATATACATTTGATAGCTTTAATTGAAACAAGACCAATACTGGGTCTGGACCTGTGTCGTTGTTTATAACTGATTGAAATTTCAAACTATCGGCAAACAGAAAGTAGCAGCACAGCAGAACTAAATATTGCCTACATGTTACAACTTAATGCAGACCAAATATAGATGCCAATATTGCAATATTAGCATACTCACCTATGCATGACGGTTAGAATTTCTACAGATAATACTGGATCTTCAGCGATGTATTTACGTGGCCAATCAGAGACAACCATTGCATGTAATCCTTTTAACAGGGACATAAAATTCAGTTCAGGTATAATTGTTGTATTATTGGTTAAAGCTTCCATTGTAATACCTGAAATATTTCAAAATAAATCTTCAATATTATGAATAAATATCTACATGAACTCAATCAGAATGAAGGCGTCTTTTCTATTGTATGTTCTTCTAAGCTCTTTTTGTTATTCCCCTGATTGAGTTAAAAGGGTAAGAGTTGAGTGGTAAAAAACCTAGTTTCAGGCTGCCACATATTTATGTACCTGTACGAAGTCACAAACCTTGCCGTTGGTTGTCTTTGGTCATATCTTAATGTGTTTCTGTCTTTAGATTGAATCTGGTGTAACATATCTGATAGTCTCTGTTAAATTGATTGACATATTTTTGTTTTAGAGACATGAAATGAAATTAGTATAGTGTTAGTTTCATTTTCTATACTCAGGATAATTAACAGCTTCACATGAGGTATAGAAAACTGTTTATTGTGTTGACTTCTAGATGTCATTTGATTTTTTTCGTGTCAATAGGTAGTTTTCTCATTGAAGAATACCATGCATCTGTTTCTACTATAAAGGTCATTTAACCAACATGCCACATCAAAATAAAGATAGAATGTCCCAATCAAAGTTACAACAAAATATATTTAAACTATTTTCAATAATATCATGACAATTATTTTCCCATGACAATAGTCATACTGTGTATTCATTTATTTTCAAGGGCACCAATTTTTGTGGCTTCAGATATTTGAATTCGAGTATTGTCAAAGTCTGCATATAAGCCTAGAGAAAATGTGTACTTCATTGATCATTTAAATTTGTGGTTCTCATATACCCCTGAAATCCTCGAAAATTGGTAAACGTCAAATAATAATGAAATCACAGTAAACATTATTTTTACCTAGAAGTAAGAAGAACCTTTCTTTATTAAGATCATTCATATTTGCTGGAGCATTCTTCTCATTGCCGTCATCTTTATCTTTATTTGTAAATTCTGTCTCTTTCAGCCATATAGTTAATGCATGTAATATAGAAGGCCAACATTGTTTATAATGCTGCTTAGCTGACTCTATTGTATCTGGATGATAGAATGTACCACCTTCTGATGGCAGCTGACTTGAGTATTCTACAACAAAATAATTTAAACTTGAGCAATAAAAAAAGAACATTTTTTCAAATGGGTGCGATTGCAGACCAATATGATTCAGATACCTATTCCTAGAGATGGTGTGTTTATTTACCAATTTATCTTACAATTTTTTTCCCATCTGACCACAAGTGACTTGTTTCTTTTGTTGATAGTTTCAAAGTGACTTAAAAGTTAATCTTTTTATTTATAGCAAAAAATATCATAAAATTTTGAAATGAAATTATGGATAAATATTATTTGTTGCAAAATGCATATAAAAAGGGGAGATAATCATAAAACCTATGAATTCTAACTACAGTGTTCCAGCTTGAATCTAAGGGCAGAAGGGTGCTAGTTGTCTGAAAGGGCACTCTAGAATTATAACCCAGATTTTAAGGGCACTGTGGGACAGTGTATAAATTACCTTGAATATTGCTAGGCTCATGCAGCTGGAGAACATTAGTTGTATTTAAACCATATTCAGAAATTAATGTGTTCTAGATGTTGGTTCCAGTAAGATTTTTTTTTATCAAATTATCGTACCATGAAGCTAAGCATATCATTTTGATGTTAATCTAAACAAACTTGTACATTTGGTAAGGAAAATAATCATCAGAAATTTCAATGTTTTATAACTTATATCAGTCTACAAAAATAAACAAGTAGTTTTGAAAGATGGAGTTATACATGCAAAATTGAATGTTTAATGTAATTAAATTATCTACATTTAAATTACTTGTTCAAACATATAGTATATATGTTATTGAGAGTTATTTATTATCATTTGAATTGTTACAAAAAAGTATTTTTAAGTGCACACCAAAGTGCTCCTCGGTAAGGAGTTTTATAAATATAACAGGTGAGACTGTAGATGATCATATTATATTGATGCAATAATATATTGCAGAAGGTATAAACAGTTACTTTTTTCTCCATCATTGTTAAAAATAAATTTGTTGAGTGCTCCTATGTCAGGATTATAAAATACAAGAAGTAAAACAGGAAGTGAATCTTGTTATGTTCAAAGTACAAATTTCTTTGATTCTTCTTTAATTTTCATACTCATGGTTATGAAACAAAACATTTTTTACCAATTAAGTCAAAACTATGTATGCCTTTTGAAATTGTTTAAGATTTTATTTTTTATGTTATGCCTACTGAAATAAAGTTTTTCAGGTGTACATGCTGTACATAAACATTACAAATGGATAACATGTGGACATTTCATTCTGTATTAAATATCTAGTATTTGTTCAATTATCTTAAATCCACTAATTAGCAGTAAACAATCATTAACAAAGGTGATAAAACTGCCAAAGCATTAGGTATTTAACTTAATCCCATTGTCAGTTAATTAGTGTTACACAATCAGGTTACAATTTTACCGGAAACGCCGGTAGACATGAAATTTGGAAATTTTATTTTTTTGAAAAGGCAGAGGGGTGCATTCTTTTACTTCAGAGGACAGAAGGGCGGGGGTAAGGGCACCAAGGGCGGGCCGCCCTTCTATTTAGGGCAGGCGGTAACACTGAACTAGGAGCAGATGACACTCAATATACCTGAAAACTTACCTGAGGGAAGCGAGAGATAACCATAATCCCTGAGAGCTCCATACCAATTCTGACTAAGGGTAGGTAACTCTGGTTTGACAAGTGATAATAAACTTTCCCTAGAGTTGTCGCTGTATTCATCATCAAACTTTGATTTATTATTTACTCCTTTTTCATTCTCTTTATCCCTTTCAACAGCTACAATGTAGACCTGTAAAAAGAAATATAACTTAATGATAGGTGTAGTATACAACCTTATGCTGACAAAACAAAACAAAGTCTATACAGGTCACAATACTGTCTTCAACAATAGATGTGTTAGTTTTGTTTTTGGTGTTTAGTGCAGCTAGTTTTTATTGGAGGATGAAGCCAGAGTACTAGAAGAAAAAATCTTATCTTTGACAGGAAAACAGGCTATCCTTAGATATAAGAAGATGTGGTATGAGTGCCAATGAGACAACTCTCCATCCAAGTCAAAATCTATAAAAGTAAACCATTATAGGTCAAAGTATGGTCTTCAAAACAGAGTTTTGGCTCACACGGAACAGCAAGCTATAAAGGGCCCCAAAAATTACTAGTGTAAAACCATTCAAACGGGAAAACCAATGGTCTAATCTGTATAAAAAAACAAGAAACGAGAAACACTTATGAACCACATCAACAAACGACAACTACTGAACAGATTCCTGACTTAGGACAGGTGCAAACAATTGCAGCGGGTTTAAACGTTTTAATGGTACCAAACCTTCACCCTTATCTGAAACAATAGTGTAACATCACAACATAGAAAGAAACACTATAAAATATCAATTGAAATGGCTTAATTCAATCAAAAGACATATTAACACCAGTGAACATACACTGAACAAATAAATTTGATCTATGATACAATGTTATTACAAAATAAATAAACTAAGGGAAAAATAATCCTTAAGAGAATACAATAGAATAGACACTGTAAGGCCTTTACTATACAACATTTACTCATAATCTAAAGTTGGTATACTTCTACAAGGCAGTACTTCACCCTTTGTATCAATATGTTTATAGTCTTTAATTATTAACACATATGTGTGGGTATCAAAATTAATACTAACCTCTGCCCAAGCTCGTAATACTGCTAGTTTTTCCATTGTGACAGCACTTTCGTTGTACAATTGTGACTGTGATTTTCCTGAGTTAAGTTTTGCTAATGAGGATACTAGTAGTTGATGAACTCTGCGTAAATCATTTAAATCCCTGGCGACACCGCTCCCAATCCATGTACTACATACATTACAAGCTGCTGCTGTCACATCTGAGGGTGTGTCTTGAGAGAATGCTGGCCGCAATGCTGCACTAACCTATGAAACAAAAATAAATCATGGATCTCTAGTTCATATTAAACTCTAATTCATATAATGTAGATTTATTATAATTTGTGAGGTACTAATTTTCTTGGAATTTTTTGGTATAGATTAACTTCGAATTTAAGTAACAAAGAATATATTTTTTATAGGCTTGTATGCAGCAGTGTTGGGAAAATCCATTATATCAAATTTTCAGGAAATTAATTTTTCTAAACCCACAAAAAACATGAATTCCTATAGAAATACAGTACTTTATATCAAAATGGAAAAATGGTAATCTCTCATGCAATCTTGTGTGTTTATCAAGAGCAGATTACATCTAATTCAGCCCTTTTAGATTGTCACAGTAAAAAAATTAAAGTGACGCCACCAAAATTCAAACTTGATCTGTGTTTTGTGGTAATAAACATTGTGTATAATTTTCATAACATTTGGTTGAGGCAAACTCAAGTTAGAGAACGGAAACCAATTTTGGGACGTACATACGTACAGACGGACAAGGGTAAAACTTATTGCCCCCTCCGCTACAGCGGGGGCATAAAAATACTACCTGAGGTCTTACATGCCTGTGTATAAAACTGTTCCAGAGAAATAAAGGAACAAAATTAAATCGATTAACAAATAAATATAACATATCCTTGAGAAACCAGTTTGAAACATACCTGTGCTTGAAACTGTTCTAAGATTACATGTCCTGGAAATTCTGGTTCTGGTACCCTAGCAAACTTCATAATAACATCCTGAAATATAATTTAAGGTTTTCAAAATTACCATTCATACATTGGAAAAGACTAAAACTTTTATAACCAGATTCTTCCTCCAATCTTAATAGTCATAACAAGGCTACTGAAAACTTAACCATTGCATCATTTGTATCAAAATTACGGATGACATGGGGAGATAATCAAACATCAGAACAAAAATCATCTTTTACTATATATATAAAAATATTATCTACGGATATCCTAATTGAAGCAAGTAAAACTTCCACCATTGACTTAGGACCAATCAACTCTTGTCATCATGTGAACTTTATGAATTTTAATTTAAGATTACCTGTAGAGCAGAAAGTCCAGCTAGTGTAAGTTGGTTACTGTCTGAGGTAGCTGCTATGAATGCCATTCTTACTAATTCTGACAGATGTAACACTAAGTAATTCACTGAAATTATACATACATTAATAATAAGTATAATGTTATCATTGTCTATGTCTAGGTTTTTTGGAAGGTTACAAGTTTTTATGATTTTAAACTTATTTTCTAAAGCTAATTATATGTACACCTTTTGTATAAAAATATGGCTTTAAACTTTGTTCATCAAATAATATATCAAGAAACAAGAATGTGTCCATAGTACACGGATGCCCCACTTGCACTATCATTTTCTATGTTCAGTGGACCATGAAATTGGGGTCAAAACTCTAATTTGGCATTAAAATTAGAAAGATCATATCATAGGGAACATGTGTACTAAGTTCAAGTTGATTGGACTTCAACTTCATCAAAAACTACCTTGACCAAAAACTTTAACCTGAAGGGGGACAGATAGACAGACGAACGGACGGACAGACCGAAAAACATAATGCCCCTAGATGGGGCATAAAAAACATGGTTGAATTCTATAAAAAAGATGAACAGGTAGTGAATGTAAAAAACATATATCAACCATTATCAAGTTTCCCTATATGGAAAGGAGAGGTGGAGATGTGGATATAAAAACTTTGTTCTCTGAACTAGTGGACTCAAATTTGATATTATACAAAATCTAGTACTGTGGATTCATTATCATTCACGGGATACCAAATTTTTTTGATTTAATGTGTATATGTGAATTATAAATTTAAATGTTGAAGAAATAAAACTCATGACTGGTTTGCAGACTTTGGCAAAAAGTAAATGAATCCCCAGTAACAGAAACCATACTTATAATATATTTCTACACATATTTGATTTCAGAAAATGGTCATTATGAATCAAATACCTTGACCAGTTGTATTCTTGAGGTTCCTTGCTTTTTCAAGATCAAAATGTGTGTCGTCTACTTCACAGGCGGTTACAATCATTCGTAAACATTCTGTTGCAAATACTCGAGTCGGCCATCTACAAGTATATACAAATAAGTTACACAATAGTATTTGAAGCATTCAGTTGCAAATACATGATTGACCATTTACAATTAATACAAAGAAGTTTCAAAATTATTTTTGAAACATCCAGTTGCAAAAACATTAGTTGATCATTTTATAGTTTAATATCAATAATTGGACAGTTGGTTAAATGTATTGTATCTTTTTTTTTAATTGTGAACAGAGTTTAGTAACATTTTTTTTTTAAATAGGTAGGCACTGTCCTTTCTTAATATCTAAACCTAAGAAACAAATAAAACATTCTTATATTTTTCAATAAAGAATGGGTGCAAAGTGGAAATATGTAATCTTGAATTATAGATATTCCATTAAAATAAACAGGGGGAGGGTAAAGGAAGATTTATTTAATTTACATGGATCAAGGGTAATTTTGTTTGTCCATTTGATATAGGCAAAATCATTCACACTATGTTACTTTGAGGAAATTTAGAAGTCTTCCTTAGCACCTCCCCCCTCCATAATGAAATAGCTCGTACAAATAATTACTTTACTATCAAAAACCACATCCATTTTACTGGAATAGCCCTTACAAAAATGAATTTGATATTATACATTGTAATATGAACCTACCTAGGAGCTACAGTAGGATGAGTCACATCAACTTCTAAAGCAGTAAATGTTTCATCGTCATCATCTTCATCTCCAGAATCTTTATCATCTAAATCATTATCTCCATCCTGTAAACTACTTGTTGTGTCTGAAAAAAAGATCCATCTCATCAAAAGTCATTTTTCAAAAATTGAATTGCTTTTAAGGTACATAAAATACAGAAGAATATATCCTTGTGCAAGGGATGTATACTACTGTAAATAGGAAATTTTCACTGTAAACTTTTTACCTTGAAATTTACCGTACACGAACAATTCACTCTTCATAAGGCTATGAAATGCAAATAATGAACAGCCAATATCTAACTGCCTCATCTTAGGCCAAAACCTCAAACAAAATCCAACACAAAAATAACCAATATAAGGGATGTATATTATATGTTATTCAGGTTTCAGACAGGGTATATAATGTGACATTCAGCCGGGAATGTCACATTATATACCTTGTCTTCAACCTGAATTACATATATATTACGGATTACCCTTGCCTTAATGTTTTTCTAGTACCAGGTATTTGTTAAACATTCACCATGCAGTATATAATTTCAGTATATGCATATCGTTTCTTAACATTTTGAGCAATTCTTTTAAATGCAAGTTTTTTATCTTGACAACTATTTTTTTTTGTTAAGAATAATTTTTTAATAAAGTTTTTAGATTTCATGTATACTGTTTGTATGTTTGTGACTTTTTATGTATTATGACTTTTTTGACAACAAAAATATTGAAAACCCAACCTGATATTTTTCGCATACGTGAAGGATTTTGTAATTTGCTGTGAAAATAATTTTATCGTGTATGCAATGATTTGTAATAACATTCTAAGACATTAATTAAGTATTTGATGTGTAAATCGAGTTATTTTAAATTAAAAACGTATTATTGACGGATACACGTCATTATTTTCCCTCTATGAGCCTCTGACAATTCTTTAAGTGTTCTGTATACCTTAAGACTATGTCACATAATAACATTCCTTATGATGACATTGTTGGGGTTCCAATTGGGATAAAAAAAAAAACATCATATATACCCAGGCAGTTTCCTGAATATATACTGACATCTCTGTATTGTTATCCAATCACAAAACTCGACACATTTGTAATCCGTAATATTATTTAATGTTCACAGTGTCAGTTCATGAGATATCAACATCTGTCTTTGGTTGAAGAAGTGAATGTAATTTCTTTATTTTTGTCATTAGGTTACTGTCTAATTGATTGATATATATCGGAGCGCTCCTTTTATACTTGTTTGAAAAATACTTTTTAAATATACAGGTTGGAAAACTTCAAACAATTTATTTTTTTTTTGCTAGGACTGAAAATTACTTAAAAAGTTGTCTAGAATACTGCAACAAGATGAGGTTTTCAAAATACAAAACTATCAATGTTATACAATGTTCATTTGTAATACTACAATAAAAATTCTCTTGCAAATTCAAAAAATTTTAATGTGTACAATAACTGGAAATCAGTTCAGTCTAAATCAGATTGACTGATTGCAAAATGATATGATTTCCAAAAATAAAGTAAAATAATAAATTAGTATGTGTATTGAAATTAAGCTTACGATGGAAGTGTTGTTCTTAATCACATTTTCTTCACTAACCTGTTGACGCTGAAAGAACATCTTTAAGAAGTTTCAGCCAGCGAGTGAGGTTACGGGTGGCCAGTGCTTGCAACAGGCTATCAATGGTGTCCTGAACGTCAGATATCAATTTACCATCCGTCTCTGTATCCATCATTCCAAACAGTGCCCCCTCTAATCCTGTGTCAGTAATAAATGAGTCAGGCTGTCCTTCCTTCCCTTCACTGACGGCCAGAGTAAGGGCCTGTTCACTGACCTCCCCTGCCTCTCTTGTCACCAACTGACGTAAGCAACCTACGGCAGCTCTTCGTAACAATAAATGACCACTGGCTAAATTCTCCTGTAAATAGTAAAAAAAAACATTTGTACTTGCGTATACATACAGATTATTTAATTTTTCTTTCCTGAATTTTCCTGTATTTTGTGTTGCTCAATCTTTAAATTTTCTGTGTAATGCTTAGTGCTCTTTTGTCTTTCAGTCTTTTTTTATTATTCATGTTGCTTTCTGTCTTTTTAATTATTTTTTTATGTCACTTTGGTAACTTTTTACTGTTTGTTTCAAAGAAGTGTATTGTAAGGGGAATAGATACCAAATTCATTGGCTTTATCACAAATTTTTCATCTGATGTAAAAAGATAATTAATGGTGTGTTAAATAAATAAGTTCCATAATTAGTTGCAATAGTTACAAATACTCACACAAAGATGGGGAACCAATGATGTGAGATTGACATGACGGGGAGCAAACATATGTAACTGCTGTAGACATGTGATGGCCTCAGCATTGACTAAAGAGTCCTGATGACACTGCATAATTGCACAACACACCATACAATACAATCTAGCTGTTGCTATGGAACCACTGTTTCCTGCAATAAAAACAATTTTACTTTATTTAGGATTCATTAAACTAGTGTCTCAATTGTCAATCGTTTAACTAGAGTCACGTAGCAGAGCTAGGTAAACGGACATATGCAGCAGTAAAACCAAGTTTTACATAGGCCAAGCTGAAAATACAATACATTTATCTCCATTCTAATGCAAAACTAACAGATTATCAATTGAAGATGTTTTTTTAAATAAAAAATCACATTAATTGAAAATTCTGCAAAACATTGTTCTCATCTTTGCAACCTCACAAGAATGATGTCATGGATAGAATTCTGGCATCAAGGGTTAGCACCAGACATTAGTTGACTTTAAGTACGCTTCAGAACGATATAAAATTTGATGAAAAGATAATTTCAGGTCAGACTTCTACTCGTTTTGTTTATCATGGAAGCAATCAAAAGCTTGATTATAAATTAATTGTATAAGAATTAACCCTTTTGCAAAATTACTGTAATTAATTCAGTAAAATTGTTGAGAGGCATCATCTGATGATATTTACACTTTTTTTTACCTTGTAACTCAGGTCCTAATGACGTTATGAGTGCCGACAAACATTTCCCCAGACACTGATGAACATCTACTGTAGAGGGAGGAACTGTCAGTAATAACTGTAACACTAAGGTCAAGGTCGGCTCCACATAACTCCGGAACATTGGACCTCCTGAATCAGCTATCAGTCCTAAAGCATGTAATGACCAAACCTGAAAAATAAAATAATAGGTCATTGTACGTATATATTTTTTCCGAAAATTTGATCTTATGACATATTTTATAGATGATTAGTTCTCCTCTCACATTGTGACATCACTAATAAGTTCTGCTCTATCGTCACAAAGCCACGATATAAGAATTACGGAGCAACTGAGCAGTAATGTAAGTGAAGAGTCTACAGCCTGCATTGGTAACAGGAAAAACAAAGTATTAACAATTCTTTTCACAAAAAATCTTATGTCAGATCAAATTTCATAGTTAGTTTAACTGAAAAATACCTGACTGTTAATACTTTTAATGAAATCAGACACAGACTTTTTAAGTAGTAAAACATTATGCTCTTTTCAGCTTTTCTGCATGACACTTTCTTTTGTACTCTTTGGTTTAAAGTTGGGAAACACAATTTATTAATTTACCTGCACAACTGGTGAACTTGAATCTTGTGCTAGGGCTAACAATATGCTAACACTTGTATTCAGATGTTGTCCTGACCCCATCCCTCCAACATATCTGTGTAAACAACCAAGAGCTAGAGAATGTCCAGTCCTGCTAACTACATCTCTGGCTGACTTCAAACTGAAATACAGGTACAACATATCATACAGACAAAGTTTGAAGCTACAAAATATCAAGTCTGTATAACCAGACTGAAATTGAGTGTTAAAAGTTTAAGATCAAGTCTTATACAACACTGAAAAGACTTTATGTTGATATCTAGATATATTATATTGGCCATTTTTTCTTCTTCTTTTATTTGTATGCTGTCTCATTATGGATACTCCCAACATATCCATTCTTTCATTTATGGAAACAGAAATCATCTAACCTTGCTACGACCATGGATACCAACCTATTAAAGCCACCTCCTGATATATCTCCATGAATACTAACCAATTGAAACTACTGTAAATTCAGAAATTAAAGTATGCATTTTTTATTGTGAATTCTAGACCAAAGGCAAAAATGTGAATTTTAAGAAATGTGATTTCAAAAATTTGTTGAAGGAAAATCAAATTATGAATGCAAGTTTTTATCATTGAGAACCTAATACTGTCCCATTAATAATAAAATGCTCCGCTGGGGCGCAGCTTGATACGACCGCAGAGGTCGAACCCTGAACAGTTGGGGCAAGTATGGACACAACATTCAAGCTTGATACAGCACTGAATTTGGATTGTAATTAAATATTTGACACAGCATAGGTTTCTGACACAGAATGAAAGTGGTCTAAGAACTTAAAAATTTTCAATTTACCTATTCATACATGTGATGGACTGTGAAACTCAGATCAGGAGATTGGGAAATTTTGGTCAGGAGATTAGGACTCAGATCAGGAGGTTTTTAATCGACATTAATTTTGTTGTAAATGTAACCGTGTGCTGTAAAAATGGTCTTTTAAAGTGTGTTTTCTTCAACTTTCCATCCAATTTATTATGTTTATAGTACCCTTGTACTTATAAAGTTTCTCCATCTTTATATTCTACATGTTCAATCTAACATTGTTTTTTTCCAGTATGTTCTTTAAATTTTTAACTTCATATTCTATAAAACAATCATTGCAACTAGAACATTTTTTTAGCTGTCTGCAAATAGTTTTTATTTTTTTTTTTTCTCTTGCAAATAGTTTTTATTTGCAAACTCAGAAATTCATTCTATCTGTAAAGTTAGGGTCATAGTTATTATATAAATTTCAATTTAAGCCTTAAAAGGAAGTATAGAATCCTCAAATAATTTTCAAATTATTATTTTTTTATTTGTCCTAAGACATTTAAAATCATTTAATAACCATCCTTTTATGATTATTTGTTCAATTTATATTTTATTTATATTCTTTTAAAAATTTTCATTATTAAAAGGAAAGTAACTTAAAACAGGATAAATCAAGGGAAGTAACCCAATAAATACACAGTTTTTGTTACACAACGGCAGTTAGCCTGAGGTAAAAATCGTTGCTTACCAGTATGTTTGACACCCAAGCTGACAAGTGAAGCCATATAATTATGCATGTTAATTGATTTACAGGTAAAATATAACTTCAGGTAATGTCAGTTACACCAGATGCCTGAGATAATATGTTGGGCAGAAATTTTTCATTCATGAAAAATTTCATACACGGGATTTTTTCCTCTTCAACGGGAGGTCGGGAGGAGACCCCTGAAAACGGGATTATTGTACTCCCGTCGGGAGGTTCACATGTATGCCTATTCAAACCATATCATTATTATTTGCTTTTATATATAAATCAGAAATAACCAATTTAAAATGGAAAATGTTAAAGAAAAAAAAGGAAAAAAAAAATCCCCCCCCCCCCCCAATTTTTTGAACCCCCTTATGATTCACCGCCCCCAAACTCAATCCCAGCTTTCCCTTTGTGGTATGGTACCTTGCACTACAATTTCAGAGAGATTCATACACTTGAACACAAGTTATTGTCTGGAAACTAGAAAAATGCTTGTTTTTTGGCCCCTTTTTGGCCCCAAATTCCTAAACGTTTAGGGCAATTACCCCCAAACTCAATTCCAGCTTTCCCTTTGTGATATGGAACCTTGCAGTACAATTTCATAAAGATCCATACACTTACAAACAAGTTATTGTCATGAAACTAGAAAAATGCTTGTTTTTTGCCCCTTTTTGGCCCCTAATTCCTAATATTTGGAGGAAATTACCCCAAAAATCAATCCCAGTATCCCCTTTGTGATATGGAACCTTATAGTACAATTTCATAAAGATCCATACACTTACAAGCAAGTTATTGTCATGAAACTAGAAAAATGCTTGTTTTTTGCCCCTTTTTTGCCCCTAATTCCTAAAATTTGGAGACAATTACCCCCAAAATCAATCCCAGCATTCCCTTTGTGATATGGAACCTTGTGGTACAATGTCAGAGAGATCCATACACTTACACACAAGTTATGTCTGGAAGTTACAAAAATGCTTATTTTTGGCCCCTTTTGGCCCCTAATTCCTTAACTGTTAGTACCATAACCCCCAAAATCAATCCCCACCTTCCTTTTGTGGTATTGAACCTTATGGTAAAATTTCAATGAGATCCATTCACTTAAACTAAAGTTAGAGTGCGAAAACTAATGTGTATTCGGACGACGACGACGCCGGACGACGACGACGCCGGACGACGACGACGACGACGACGCCAACGTCATACCAATATACGACCACAAAAATTTTTTTGCGGTCGTATAAAAACATGGCAATAATTTCTGTACACTGTCATTTCTCAGTGAATACAAACCTATTAAAGCTACTTTGTGCCATATCAGCAATAAATCTACTATCTCCAACCACCTGAGCTATTCTACCCAAGGCCTCTCCTGCAGCACATCTTAATATAGGGTTCTGGCTCCCTAAAGCACCCTTAAAATAAAGTAAGATATATGCTTAAATATACTCTAAATTCTAGTGTCTCTGATGAAAATTCTCATAATGTGTTTAGATTATCATTCTACAACACAAAAATTCTATTCAAACAAATATTGCTCTGCAAATTCACAAAAGAAAACCTCAAAATCCTTCATACTTGCAATATTTTACTGCAAAGTAAAATCACTTTATTTCTATTCTATTTGTTCACATTGTTTAGACAAAACAGTGAAGTATTGAAACATTTTAATTGACAGTTTTTCCCATTTTATTCGTGCCATACAAGAGATAAATCAGTAAAGACTTTACCAATATGAGATTGAAAGCTGCCTGTCTAACTTCATCTGGTCCAACACTGGTCTTTGTATCAGCCAAACTCTGAAAATAGGAAAGTCAAAAATTATAATCAAGTAATAAAGTGTTCATTTAACTTTAACAAACACAACATACGTTTTCATTTCTGTTTCATCTGTTGTATAAACTTATGTTATAACTTAAGTATGTACATGGAATCCTCAGTTAATTGAAACATCTCCCAAGAGCTGCAGTACAGTAGAATCCATGTACACTCCCTATCAGGATTAATGGAGATGTGTCACTAACTTCTGTACAACCCACTACTAGGACTACCCCCAACCTAACATCAAGGGAACGTTAGGACACCTGGAAGTCTGTTATTAGGGTGGAGAAAACCAAAGAACTCTGCGACAACCACTGGGTTGCTCAGCTGGAACAGACAACCAAAGAGATATCTGTAGATTTATTAACCAAGCCCCAACAGTACCCATTCTAGTTTGAACACAAGTCTGGGTACCAGAGATGTGCTTGGGAGGGTCAAAATCACCCTTCTAATGAACTGGAGATTCCAGCACCCCAAGTAAGGATTAAACCAACGACTTCAACACTATAGCCATGGGTCTTAACCACTGGGCCACGATCTCACACTTTGATTGTTTGAAACACTCATTCTTATTAAAGTGTTGATTTACCTTTAATGAACACAACACTGCAGTAAAAATATTCATCTGTACAGCCTGTTGTCTGAATGATTTTGCTTGTCTAATGCATTCATTAAAATGTTGTAACATCTGAAACCTGTGTTTGTGTGCCACGCGTGGGAAAACTGATCCATATAACTTGACAGAACTATCAATAACTGCCACACCTAATGGCAGAGGTCCTGGAACAGGGTCACTCTGAAAAACAATTAGTAGATATAAAACTGTTATTTTCTGTAATTTTTATCACACAGAAAGTCTTTGTTATCTGTTATTTTTTATATAATCATACTTACTTTACTTAACCTAGCTTTTGTAATTTTTTCTAAAGTATTGGTTGTGAAAGACTAATGATGAAAGAAAAATGTAACCATAGGGTTAACACAGGGGATCATGTAGATTTTTGTTTAATTTTGTGCCCACTCCCGCCCTGGAAAGTTGGAAAAATATCCCCCTGACCTGTTGTGTTCTTGAAATTGCTTAGTGTTTATATGACCTTGATGCATAAAAGTATATCACAACTTTTTATTTAATGACTCTTACAATATAATTTGACAAATTTGATTGAAACTTTACAAAATAATGTGGATTCTTTTAATTTTCGTGAATTCAGAAAAAAATTGTAATTGTCGTGGTTTTGCCAAATTAGATAATTTGTATTTCATTGAACATTTAAATTTGTGGTTTATCTATATCCACGAAATCCATGAAAATTGGTATACCACTGTAGTACACAATTTGTTGATATTTACATTAAGCGAGAAGATAAGAATACGACAACCTTGCAAAATTTTTCAAAACTATACTTTTACTTTTGCTCATCATTGAAGGCCGTACGGTGACCAATAATTGTTAACTTTTATGTCATTTGGTCTCAGGTGGAGAGTTGTTTCATTGGCAATAATATCACTTTTCTTATTTTTATATCTTAAAATAAATATGTAGGGATTATAAACTAACAAAATCAGCTGATACCAAGTAAACATTAAAAGGACAAACAAGATCTTACCAGTGGACATCTTTGGTATAACGAGTGTGAATCGTGTTCTAATGCTCCAGACCCTGATGCACTATTTGGTTGCAGCTGAAAGAAACAAACTTGAAGTTAGAACAAATATCAATAATCATTAAAATGAAAAGTTTTTTGTACGTTCAACAATACAAAGATAACATTTATCTGAGCGCGGAACTTGACACTAAACATTTGCTTTAACAGGTCAATGTAATATATTTTGCTGGTCGTTTTATATCTTACCAGTGGATCTTGTGTTTACCTACAGAAGCACAGCTATTTGTGCCACACATCAAAACCTACAGCTCCTTGTATGATGTAAATGTATTTTAGGCATAATAATTATACCTGTGTTTTAATAACTTTAGTCATAACTTGTCACATTGGAGGGTCTATTTAAAATTTGGGAAAGAGAGGATATGGGATGGATAGACAAGAATTTAGTCATTAATTTTTTAACTTCTTAACCTTTTTTTTAAATAAAGATATTAAAGATATTCAAACATTCTGTTTTATATATTGACAAAGTGTTAATGGCTCCAAAGACTTCTTCAAAATACTAGGTCAGACTTAAGGGCTCATGTTTGTATTTTTTAAAATTTTTGACAGGTTGGATAAAGAAAAAACTTTGGTTTGAGAAATATCAACATGAACATCTAATATTTAATTCACAGGAAATAAAACAGGCCCCTGTTTACAGCTGTCAATGAAAAACAGACCATCAATTATTCATAGAAAATAACATGTCATATCAAAAGATAAAATTATACTCCATGCTTTTTAATCAAACAGTTATCTAAGGTTAAATATCAGAAAAGATATTAAACAAAGCACAATGATGATTTATCATTGGAAAAAAATAATCAAAAGCTGAAGTCAAAGGTATGCATCATGCCATGGATATAATCAACACTTTACCATGCAGATTTTAAAACATACAATCTGTTGAAATATGAAATTACTGCCAAGAATAAACATTTCATATTTTTTATAAATTTTCATACAAGAATTCACAGTCTCATTTTTTGACAAGTAAAAATAAAAGCTTCTATTTATTTATAAACACACTTCTCTTAAATTATGAAGAAATTCTTACAAATGCTTCAATGAATCTAAAATTCAGCCGAGTTGCATTTTGATCCAGAACCTTATTTAAAGAAACCTTTACCAAAGTAAAAATGAATTAAACAAATCAAAAGTATACTATGTCAAGGTCACCAAAATCTATAAGAGAATTTCATGAAAAAGAATTTTTTAAACAAAACCAATCAAAAATGTTTAAGAAGAAGAAGTATGCAACTCGGCTACGAGAAGCCATGCGGACATTGATTCATTCATTGGTTAGTCAGTGTACTTACTACATTCGAATCCACTTTACGTTCCGGTTCAAACTATAATAGTTCACACAAAATTAAGTAAATTCTTTGATCTAAATTGATCTATTACCATGACAGCTAATTATATTCTTAACAGATCAATCTTTCAAATTTAAAATCACCAGCATACTTTCAACCTTCGTTCATCCAAACAAATCATATGACGTGTGAAACAAATTCTATTAATGAAAAAGGAAATTCTTCAAGCAATGTAACAATGAATTTCTAAGTAAAAAATGAAAAAGTAGAGAACAATGCTTTCATGTTTTTATCAATTAAAAAAAAATTAATAAATCCTGCAATAGTTTTATTTCATGTATGACTTAAAACTAAGCACTGGCCAAACATGAGTTGTATAAAAATATCCTTTTTAAAAACTTGAAATTTAAAGATTAAACTATCAAAAAATTAAGTGTTGTTAAGCATACTCAAAATTTCAGAAAAAATCTTTTTAAAATCAAGGACAATTATTATATTGAATTTGAAAGAATAATTATTTTTTTTTTTTCATTTTTCAAGAAACTAAGGTCCATGACCCCTATTATTATTTCAAATTTCGGAAGTACTGGTATTTATGATAAGCAATTCTCTCATTGCATTTTTAACCAATTCTATGGTTAATGTTTCCTCAATAAGAAAAATTACATTTCCCCTATATAACTCATACAAAATAACTGTGATTTCGTTAATTTCCATGTATTGATTTCATTAATTTCCATGTATCTTAACGAAAAGACAAGGTCCATGACCACCAGTTTTTATATTGTAATTTGTAAGTACATTGACACAGAAGTCTTTTACAGAAATTTAAGAAAAATCTTTTGTCGAAAAATTTAGACACCCCAGCTACCTTGATTCAATGAAAAAGTGGATTTGTTGATATTTTTTGTAACAGTTGCAGGATTTTTTTTAAAATTTCAGGTTACTGTATCAATGGATATGAGACTGTAAATTCTATACGAAAATGTGCCAAACAAACAAGAAAAATAGGCAATGCAAAATGCAACATTTCGCAGGATTCATAAACAAATATATTGTGGTCTGGATATTAGTTAAATTAATAGCATTTCAATTTAATGGCTGAAATTAGGTATACATTTATACATATTTCTTGTTGTTTTAATAAAATATTTAATATTTCCCATCTGGTTGCTAAGCACATGCTTGCTGTAGCTTCATGGATTTTAAGGAATACTTAACAAAGATTGACACACCTGCTGCATTATTTGAATCATTTCCAAGGTTATTGAACACTTAACTAAGGTCATGATCAAAAGCAACCTGTTGTATACATATCACTTAATTCACATACCAAACAATACCATCCTATCATGTCAAATTTAAAACAAGGAGATTGAAAGAAAGGTCAGCAACACATATTATATGTCAGACAGACATATATAATCCTTACAACAATTCTACTAAACAAACATGATATGGTCATGCATCGTTACTAATTTTTCACTGACAATACTGAAAATATAATACCTAAGTCTCACTTCCTGTGACTTTAATTCCAGACAAGACTATTTCAATGATTTAGTTTGACTAAATTTGACCACAACCAGAGGGACTTACTATGGATGTTTGATTTCCCTTGGAGGAATTAGATAAATAATGGGATTCACCATCCAGTATTAAATGGTAATGCTATAAGTACCATGCAGTTTTGTTTGAAATAATCTCTGCAACAAAATATAAAGCAAACCTCATATACTGATAGAATGAAAATGTTTGGTTGTTGTTTTCTTTTTTCTTGTTTAGTTTGTTTGTCAAAATTCCAAATATTTAATGTTTTTCTTCACTTTTTTCAAAAAATAAGCAGAGTTGTAGCTATATATAGTTCGCAAATCGTCAAAAAATATCACAAGGACCATAAAAGTATTGGTTCTGTAGCTAGCAGAGTTGTTGTTTACAAAAAACTGAATTCACCAAAAAAAATCTATAGTAGATGCCATCCTCATTTTTATGTAGTTTGTGAGTGGTTTTTAACATTACTTTCTGTAAAAATATCTTAATATAAAACTTTTTTGTTTTGCATTCAGAACTACAGAGGCTCTTGGTAAACCAACCACACTGCATCAGAAATGCTCTCCCATTACAACTGTAAGATTCAGTGCGCCAAGGTTTACCTTGTTAACAACTACAAAAAGCAATGTTATAAACCTACTGTTGAGGAAAGAGTCGAGAGTGACCTTCTTAGAAAGTTTTCAACTAGAAACCTAGACCACTCGACAAGAAGTCCTTCCTTTTATTCTAGAACACTCGACAAGAAGTCCATCCTTTTATTTTCCAAAAAAATAAACAAAAAAGTACATAGGCAGAACAAAGTGAAAGTTGATTTTGTACAAATACAGAAATGTCCCGGCGTTACAGCAGCATTATTTATATACCTGATCTTCTATAGCTTTATGGTCAGTTTCCTGTAACCATGATCCTAATATAACACTATCGTCCACGTGACAAAGTGATCTCAGCAGTGATGTCGTTGTATTGGCTGGATTATCTGTCAATGTAAACTCGGCCACCAGCTCTCTAAGCAATACTGTGTAGGTAGCTGTAACAATAAACAATAATGTCACATAAGAATTTTTCTGTCAAGTTTTCTGAAACATTAGATTAACTACTGTAATGACATAAAAAGTTGTTTGGATCTCATCAAATTTATTTGAGAACAGATAGTTCTAGTGAATATGATGATAATGTGATGGTGTCATTTCACCAATGAAATTTACAAAATATTTTAATTCAAAGCAAACAAAGATCTTTCAATTTTCATTGAATTTTATTATCAAATGTTTGCTATCTAAATTTTATAAAATTTCTTGTATTAAACTCAGACTCTACTCACATAATCATGTGACATTTAAATCTGAACCTACCCTCAAATGTATCTGGAGGAAGTAACGACAAGACATCATATAACCGTAACCTAACCATAGCAGCACTGGCCTTCAACTGGGAACCACACTGTTTTATAACACCAGGGATACTGCAATATAAACATACAGTACATTAAGACTCAAATATTTCTCATGATAAATACTGTAAATTATGAAATTATTGCCATATTTTTATTATCAAGAAAAATGTAACAGACAGACATTCACAATTATTAAACCACACATTCTTACTTTCATTTTAATCCTAGTCCATTAGTACTGTAAATTCAGAAATTATTGCAAGGTTTTTATTATTGTAAATAATGCTACTGGATAATAATCGCAATAATGAGAACTCTGCATTCTGATATCTGATACATATAAGTGTATGCAGATTTTCCTGAAATCGCAATAATAAATCTCATCAAAAACCGCAATAGTAAATGCACGCAATAATTTCTGAATTTACAGTAAGGGCTATTCCATTAAAATGTATGTGGGAGGGTAGGAAGGGACTTTCAAAATATCCCTACAACCAAGAATCATTTTTTAGATAATTTTGCATTATTGTAATAGACACATACTGAAAAAAGACCCATGACCCACATTCAATAATTAAACTTCCCTTCCTACCCTCCCACATACATTTTAATGGAATAGCCCTAATTGAATTCCTTTTAACCATAGATGTGTATGATTTGTAAACTATCATCTGCGGCACCTAAAGGATTGTTGCTTCTACAATTAATCAGGCAGTCTGTGTAATCAGTAATTGATTGACTGCCGGTGTTTAACGCCACTTTCAATACTGTTGGCTATCTCTAAGTGGTCAGTTTTGATTGGTGGAGGAAGCCAGAGGGCCCAGAGAAAACCACTGACCTTCTGCAGGAAAACTGACAATCCTCTTCAATTAATTATGGAATTGAATGCACCTTCTATGTGCCAGATTCAAATCAACTACAACCTCAGAGTTGATAGGCTAGTTATACAGAAGATGAACTACTTATTCTTTGACCACTCTGCCACTGAGGCCCTGCGTAATCAATGAAGCCAGGTAACATTTATAATACTTTGCTTATTGTTATGGACATAGTTTTAAAGGATCAACATATTTTTTATATGTGAATCAAATCTCAAAGTTTAAACAGTTGATATAGTACCGACTTTATAGCCATCATGTCATGGAAAAAATGTCCGCTTTTTGTTATTGAAAATACAAAATACTTTTAGGCATTTTTATTGTACTTACTGTGAAAACATGAGAAGCGCACACTCTAGAGGGGCGAGTAATCTTCTGATAACATCCTCCGTAACCAATTCTCTACAGTTCAGCAAGAAACTGTACATAGCTGTTATCAAATAGAAAATTACATACATAAACAAAAAGTGCAAAGCTGTGAAAATAAAAATAATGGACGTTATATGATTTATTGATATGAATAAGAAAAAAAGATGTGGAAAATATATATCATTGAAACAGCAACCTAATAATAGCATAATATCAAGACAAATTTATGTTCACGTTCTCATTCTTGTTTTTATATGATTGTTTGGTGGTGGTTTTACGTTCCGTTTTCACTTCAGCCGTCAAAATTAGAACAAGTTTTGTCAAAATAGCACAATAAATAGTCAAGCAAAATACCAATCATGAAACAGAAGAATGACTGTGAAAAAACTGTAGGACAGTTTATCTCCATATCAAAAGTAACATACAAGAATTCATTGATTATCTTACAAATTAGAAAAAAATTGTAAAAGAAATTATTAGCAACACATAATTTATTTTCCCTCCTTATACCTGAAGCCTTGCATTGAAAAGTTATGTAGTTCATACTGTTGTTATCTAAATTGAAGATTGATAATATTTTATCTCATAAAAAATCCCATTGATATCAAACATAATTGCCAATCATTCAGCAAAAGTGAAGAAATTTACACTATAAAAAGAAATTATTTATTGTATAACAGAAAAGTTGTAGAATACATCAAGCTTATCAAATCATAATAAAATGTATCATCTATTACATCACAAACAAATAATTAATCAAATAGTTCAAAACTAATCTTTGCAAAATTATCTAAATTCAATTTCAATTAGTTTTTGGTTCTTTCTCCTTCAACCTCAGTACCTATACAAGTGTTTACTTATTTTCTAGACACTAGTCAGTTCAACATGGATTTTACCTAGATATGCTACTGCGATTCATTGTTAATACTGGGATACTATTTTTGGTGGATTTCCTGGGTAACAGTGAATCACAAATCTAAAGGTTCAACAAAGTATAAACTTTTTAAAGGCTTGTATGCAGACTCTGGCAAAACCACAAAATAAAATAATACAAAAATTTTTTTCCCTCAATATACGAAAACTGGTACCCACTAAAATAAATCCACAGTATACAGAAATCCATATACTTAGGGGATACAGCTAGATTCAGATGAGTTAACCATAGACTTATCAAAGTTGTGCTTGGGCAAATTTTACCATGTGAAAGAAATAGTTTTCCCTGATTCTTACCTCCGAGTGCACCAGCCCTTGCTTCTAAAGTGACCTGCCAAGTAAAAGCATCGCCTCTTATTTTCTCAGATTCTAATTCCTTTGTAGATCTTGGGAATGCATTTCTCCATAGTAACAACATTCTAGGTAAATGGTTTTTCACAACCGGTGTACCTATACAATAATCATTTCAACATATAATAAAATACATCATTGATTGAAGTTTTTCCAATAAAAACCACTTTAAAAAAAACAAATTTTGAAATATTTGAAACTGCTTTATGTACTTTTCATTTTTACAACAAATAATTGCTAAAATCAATGTCTAATTTAACTGTTGCACATTTGAGTTTTTGTGAAACAATTAAATGGCAATTTATTTTCATATAATGCAAATCAACAAAAATAGAAATTCCAGTCTTGAACCATGCTCTTAAAAGAACTTAATATTATTCTGGTAAATCATAAGTTTATCCATTAAAGTTTTGATACAATCAAAACAAAATAATTTGGCATCATAAAAATTCATCAAAAACTCCAGCACAATCAACACCTTCTGGAACCATCTTATTCATTCTTTACCTAATGTCATCAATGCTCCAAACAACAACCAACCAGACTGTGTTCTCTGTAGAGATAGTCTACTGTTCTGTAATGCAGTCCTCAACAACTCCTCTGCCAAATTAAATAATTGCTGAAAAATATCACAATATACCATGTGAATATGAAACATCACAATATACCATGTGAATATGAAACATCACAATATACCATGTGAATAATGAAACATCACAATATACCATGTGAATATGAATAAAACTAGATATCATTGAGATGGGAGCCATCTCTGTGGGCCCCGCTGTGAATAATGTGTGGTAAAAAATTTGTATCTTTATCATTGGACATGGGGTTGTCAAATGAAACCAAAGTTTTTGACCTTGACCTTTGACCTATGAAGTTGTACATAAATTATGACACACCCTCTGGTGTTGGTTTATATACATATCAAGTATAAACTTTGAAATCATAACGGTTCTCAAGATATAGAGCAGACACGATCTTTACCATAGGACATGGGGTTGTCAACTAAAACCAAAGTTTTTGACCTTGACCTTTGACCTAGGAAGTTGAACATACATTATGACACACCCTCTGGTGTTGGTTAATATACATATCAAGTATAAACTTTGAAATCATAACGGTTCTCAAGATATAGAGCGGACACGATCTTTACCATAGGACATGGGGTTGTCAACTAAAACCAAAGTTTTTGACCATTACCTTTGACCTAGGAAGTTGAACATACATTATGACACACCCTCTGGTGTTGGTTAATATACATGTCAAGTATAAACTTTGAAATCATAACGGTTCTCTAGATATAGAGCGGACACGATTTGTTACGGACGGACGGAGGGACAGACGGATAGACGGACGGACGGACAGACTGATCACTATAGGGCGGCCGCCATTCGGCGGGGCCCTAATGATACCAATGACACAAAAATGCAAAAGGTCATCTAGAGGTAAGAATACTTGAACAATTAAGTGCCTGCACAAATATATCAAGCTCTCTATTGCCCTCAGCCTTGAAAAGATGATCATAAATCTAATAGGGTTTTAATTCAACAATTTTGGGCTGAAATGGGATATTCCTAATATTTCTTGTAAGCACATTTTCAAATATTAATTGACTAAGTGTATTCACTTAAGAAAATTCATAGAAACTAATAAAAAAAAGATTGTATATCATAATTACAGTGTGCCTAACTTTTTAAATTAAATTCTTATGGTTCTTACCTTTCCCTTTGCATGAGGTATTCCTAAAGGACATTGGTATATGCCACCTAGAAGGGCAGCTATAGCACTGCTGTATCCAGACACAGCCTCAGGAGAACTCTTCAATTTATCCATTCTCTCTACACACCGATCTAATAGAGGAGTCAGTTGTGAGGGCAGAGCACGAGCTATACATCCCAGACACCATGATGCTGAGAGTCGCGAGGCTGGACTGGGATGTATCAATACTGACACAACTGGTTCTATAATACCTACAATGTAAATACATTAATGTGAGGGCAGAGGTTGACACAAAATTAACCAATGAAAATTGATTATATTTTATCTTTAAAGTATATTAGGGATAAATTCAACAGCTTGAACCTCTTATAAGGCTTGAACCTGAGTGTCTAATTTGGATCAAGAAAAGGTTGGTCCAGCCAAATATTTGAGTGTATTTCAGACGAATGATCTTGAAAAAATTCTATACAGCTGAATTTTATTATGAGTCATTTTTTTTTTTAATTTGTTCAATGTATTTTTAGCACTTTGCAATTTATTTAAATTGAAAGCATACTATCAATCTTAAGGTCACAAGCCAGAACATGCAGGCCATACCTGTTGCTGGTTCTGCTACTAAGGGACTAGCTGATGTTCCTAATCTGAGAACAAGACTTCCCAACTCATGCAGGGCACACACCAGGACATGTTGTCCACCCAGTATACTCTGTGACTTGGCATCATTGCTACTGTCAACTGCTGCCTCTCCTAAAATATAGGTAATGGTTCATGCATAGCCTGAATATAATTTTTTAAAACTTAGTTTGAACTTTTAATATACATTTTTTGAAGACATGTAGTAAGGGAGACAACTTATATTTTCTTTACATTTTCTGAGTCATAAACATGTATCTTGGGTGTTTTATTTTGTGTTTTTTATAAATATCTTAGAAAGATCTATCAGATAATCATAATAAACATCATTTTGAAATTTTTTAAAACATTTTTGATGAAGCTCATTTAGTTTTGATTAAGTTTCCAGACACTTCCTATGAAAATTATATACTAAACGAAGGAGAAAGATAAATCATAAAGAGATCAAAAGCTATACAGTACACTGAAATCCATCACAAAACATTTTATGATAAGTTTTTGACAATATGAATGATTTATTTATATCTCACCAACAGTATTCATCTGTTTGATTATAATTTGGCAGATTTCCTTGGCAGCTGCAATCTGAGCTTTCTCTCCCAATAATTCACCGATACAACATCGCATTATGAATAGGACGCACTTCCTGGCATAGACGGCATCCACATGGGTGGGTGTGGCCTTAGGATTGGCTACCAGGTTGAGGACATGGTTCAGGAAGAGTGAAATGTTACGTTCTAACCATAAACCGCCCATTGTTCTTACAAACCCTATGTAAGCCTGAAAAGACAGGTTAAAAATATTTACTGACCATGGACATAATACACAAGAAACCAGTGTGACAGTTTAAACCATTATATTGGTTATGAGACCAGTTAAATAAACTTTTTCAACGAAATGTCAGATAAAATGTTTTGAATATTTAGTTATATAATTATAGATCATCCAGCGAAATTTCTTGAGTACATTAAGTAATAACTGTCTACTGGACCGAATGGCCCCAGTAAACTAGTCGTACAATGACAAGGGGTGGATTCAGGCAGGGGCGTGCCCCCCCCCCCCCCCCCCCCCCTAAAATTTGCAAAGCAAGGGTTGTCCTCAGCGAGATATCTACATTGCACCCACTCTAGAAGAACATTTCGATAATTTTACCTACAAAAAATTCTCGCCTTGCTCCACTTGTAGAAAATTTAAGTGTGCACCCCCCTAACCTAAAATCCTGGATCTGCCCCTGATGACCTATAGTTGGTAACTTCTACGTCATTTGGTTTCTAGTGGAACGTTGTTTCATTGGCAATCACACCACATCTTATTTTTATACCTGATGAATTTAGCAAAATCTGCATTATTTTTCATAAGGTTAAACCTTTCATTTGTGTAACATTCTGAAAGAAACTGGTGGAATCTAGTGAATAGTGAAGTTATTGTTTCATTCTACTTACATGTGTAATGCCCACTCTGATTTCTCTGTTTATTTCTTTAGAGCTGCCTTTTATCATTTCACCAGAACTCTTTAAGAAACCAATACCTCCTTTCAGGAATCCTGATGCCAGTAGGGTTAGAACATCTTCTACTTTAACAAGCTTAGCTTTACCTGTAAAACAGAAAATGTTTTTACAGAATTATTGACTGTTTTCAAATTCCAAAATACAAAATGATAAATAGTTACCTTTTATATGAAAATGTTAAAACTTTGGCAAAATAAAATGGTCGGAATAAGGTATGATGGAGTTACTGCAAGAAATATAGAATAAACTGCTATAAACCTGCCAGGCTATGAATCACCATTAGATACTATTGTTAGAGGTTACATTTTAATGACAGGGTTACAGCACTGCAATAATTTAAATACTTAATTTATCCTAATGTTACCACCCCTTTTAAGGTTAAGAAATCATATTTAATTGGGTAATTCAACAGAGCTTTGGAAAACCAGACGTACAAACAGTTACAGTAGTTAAATTTACTTAGTCATTATTTTCTCAAATTCAGCACAAACATATTTGATGTAAAAAGAAAAAAAAAATTTATTACAAAGAATTCATCCCATAGTTATAACCTTAGTCAAGGTAAACACAGCAGAAAGAAAAGAAAACGGCCAATTACCAACTTCAATGGTGATTAAATATCTTCTTTTTTGTTCAATGAAAGATTATAGTTTTCTTTTTCAAGATTTTCAAAGGAGTTTGAGGTTTAAAGCTTATTATCAGATAAATCGAGTTTTTGTTTTGTTGGGTTGCTACCTAACACATATTTATATTATATTTAATGAATACAGCAGTTTTATTTCTTAAGGTTGATCATCATTAAGAACATTCTAGTAATTCATTAACTACATTTTGTATTTAGTCATTATTTGTTCACAGTAAGATTTATTAACAAATCCATCGACAAATACTGCACTCTATGTCAACACAATCCCCACTAACGAAGTACAGAATAAATAATTATTAGTTTCTTCAAATATTACAAATATTTACTCTGGCTACATGAATCTGACTATTCACCTATAAAATATGACAATTATGTAATCCCATCCCAGAAATTATCTATCATTTCTATTTACCAATCACTTAAACATGCTTCAACATTAATTATAGATGAAACTAAAATAGATTTTGATCGTTGAGAAATATTTTGATAAGCAAACTATGTTTTAGTATAATTTCATGTCATAACAACGCAATTTGAGGGGTAAAAAAATAATTAATGCACTTTTATTTTTGCTTTTTAAAAATTGACTTTTGCTGTTTGAAACTCTGTGGTTTTCATTCATTTGTTGATTCCAGGGCTTTTGAACTTAGTGGTTTTTAATTTTTTATTAGTTCACAAGCATGTAAACTTTGTGGTTTATTGGTTCACAGACTTTAAAAGGTTTCAAATCATGAAACACGGAAAATTCAGAAAAATAGAAATTTGTATTTCAATGCATATCAGATTAGGTGAAAAACTAAAAGAGTTGAAAGCATCACAATTATTGACCCCTAAAAAACAAAGGGAGATAAGGTTAATTTCTTTTAAGAGGTGCCTTCATTGAGTCCAAAAAGCAGTTCAATATGAAGTTTAAATAAATGTGGATAGTGTCCACATGTGGACACAGATGATGCCCCCGCTTGCATATCATATAGTTATAAAGGGACATAACTGAAGAACGGTAAAAGTGTCGCTACCCAAATTTGAACTTGATCTGAGTTTTGTGGTAATAAGCATTGTGTGTAAGTCTCATAACATTTGGTTGAGGCTAACTTAAGTAGAGAACAGAAACTAAAAATTCAGCAATTTTTCTATTTGTAAACACGCATAACTCTAGAACAGTTGTGTATAAGTTTTACAACATTTGATTGAGACAAACTAAAAAATTCAGCAATTTTTATGTTTATAAAGGGACATAAATCTAGAATGGTAAAAGTGTTGCCACCTAATTTCGTACTTAATCTGTATTATGTAGTAATAAGCATTGTGTATAAGTTTCATAACATTTGATTGAGGCAAACTCAAGTTAGAGAACTGAAACAAAAAAATTGTACTTGATCCTTACTGAGTTTTGTGGTAATGAATATTGTGTATAGGTTTCATAATGTTTGGCTGGGGAAAACTTCAGTTACAGAATGGAAACTAAAAAATTTTGCAATCTTTCTATTTATAAAGGGGCATAACTCAATAATAGTTAAAGTGACACTACCCAAATTCAACTTGATCTGTGTTTTATCAGTGGAAGTCAAAATTAAACATTGCATTGTATAAAGCATTGATTGTAGTTGATTCAACTATAATCATGGTCAAAAGAAGATAACTCCAATTTTAAAAATATATTATATAAACTTGATATTTAGAAGAAAATAAAAATTTTGCAATTTTTCCTTTTATAAAGGGGCATAACTCTAGATCGGTTAAAGTGACACCACCAAAATTCAAACTTGATCTGTGTTTTGTGGTAATAAGCATTGTGTATAAGTTTCATAACATTTGGTTGAGGCAAACTCAAGTTAGAGAACGGAAACCAATTTCGGGATGTACGTACGTACGTACGTGCGTACGTACGTACAGACGGACAAGGGTTAAACTTAATGCCCCCTCCGCTACGGCGGGGGCATAAAAAACAACAAGCATTATGAGATTCATTTACTTAAGCTCAGAAACAAAGGGAGATAACTACACTTACCCACAGGTGTCTTCACTGACTGAGCAGAATAAAGCAGTTCACCAAGAAGTTTACCAATAGCACAACGTGCATCATAATTAGATCCATCTAAAGCTCGGAAACAAAGGGAAGTAACTGTTTCTAGTTCTGCTGTATACATAAACTGTGCTTCTTTAACCAACTGCATCATGCACTGAAAGTAGCATTAGAAATGAAAGAAGTGCATTGTGTGTAGTCTATTGTATAAGAATACAGGTACATATGTACTTATTATTGTTATAACAGGGACAAACTTACAAAATATATGTTCCTGACCCATTGCCACGTTTAAATCAAAGTAGGTCAACAGCCCGGAAAAAAGTATGATGACCCCTTCCCTAAAAATTATTAAAACAGTAGGGACCCCATGTTTCCAAGATACTTTTGAGATGTCAGTTTGAATACCTAGCAGGTATTTCCATGGTAACTGACAGATTATTAACAACATGCTGGTGACTGAATAACTTGCTGACTGTTCTCTAAAATCCTGACAATTGTGAACTTCAAAGTTTCCAATATTTATATCAGACATTTTGGTCAAATGTTTTATTATGACTGGGAAAAGCCATTGTATCATACAATACCCTTGGTATAATTACAGGGATGGACTGTAGTCATTTGTATTTACCTTGGCTGCTGAACATCTTACAGACTTGGCCCTATCTGTCATACAGTATACTGTAGTATTGTGTATTTACATTGGCTGCTGAACATCTTACAGACATGGCCCTATCTGTCATACAGTATACTGTAGTATTGTGTATTTACCTTGGCTGCTGAACACCTTACAGACATGGCCCTATCTGTCATACTGTATACTGTAGTATTCTGTATTTACCTAGGCTGCTGAACATCTTACAGACATGGCCCTATCTGTCATACAGTATACTGTAGTATTGTGTATTTACCTTGGCTGCTGAACATCTTACAGACATGGCCCTATCTGTCATACAGTATACTGTAGTATTGTTTATTTACCTTGGCTACTGAACATCTTACAGACATGGCCCTATCTGTCATACAGTATACTGTAGAATAGTGTATTTACCTTGGCTGCTGAACATCTTACAGACATGGCCATATCTGTCATACAGTATCCTGTAGAATTGTGTATTTACCTTGGCTGCTGAACATCTTACAGGCATTGCCCTATCTGTCATACAGTATATTGTAGAATTGTGTGTTTACCTTGGCTGCTGAACATCTTACAGACATGGCCCTATCTGTCATACAGTATACTGTAGAATTGTGTATTTACCTTGGCTGCTGAACATCTTACAGACATGGCCCTATCTGTCATACAGTATACTGTAGTATTGTGTATTTACCTTGGCTGCTGAACATCTTACAGACATGGCCCTATCTGTCATACAGTATGCTGTAGTATTGTGTATTTACCTTGGCTGCTGAACATCTTACAGACATGGCCCTATCTGTCATACAGTATACTGTAGAATTGTGTATTTACCTTGGCTGCTGAACATCTTACAGACATGGCCCTATCTGTCATACAGTATACTGTAGCATTGTGTATTTACCTTGGCTGCTGAACATCTTACAGACATGGCCCTATCTGTCATACAGTATACTGTAGTATTGTGTATTTACCTTGGCTGCTGAACATCTTACAGACATGGCCCTATCTGTCATACAGTATACTGTAGTATTGTGTATTTACCTTGGCTGCTGAACATCTTACAGACATGGCCCTATCTGTCATACACTGTTTAGCTGCCTTATATATGTCTTTGTATATACCACCTCCTGCTGAGCCAAGACCCCCAATAACCTTCTCCAAGGTCAACATTATCTCACTGCGTCCTTGACTCTGAGAAATAAAAATATAACAATTATTGTACATATAAATTTAAAAGTTTATTGCTTAAAGTCATATGATTTTTGTCTTGCCAAATATAATCATATTCCTTGATAGAACATAGACAATCTCTTGTTTGGCTTATCACAAGTGGTTTCCCTAGCTTAAACTAATCTAAGCACAAACTTTAACATGTAACCTTTGCAAAAATTTCAAAGTCAATGAACCCTGACTCAGGGAACAGGGCCATATAATCCTAATGGAATTGAAATCTGCAAATTTTAATGCAGCTGCATATCAAATATCATTCTCCTTTAACCTAAACACAAACTTTAACATATAAACTAAGCAAAAGTTTCAGTCAATACACCATAACTAAGGAGGGGGGGGCCAATTAATCTCCATTGAAATGAGATGTGTCAATGTTAATTCCACTGCATACCAAATATCATTGACCTATATATCATTAGTGCTTTCCCTTAAACTGACCTAATCACAAACTTTTATCATTATTGATGCAGCAGATGACTGAACCAGCATGCCAAAGTCTAAGACACCAAACAATAAAACATATCCTTAAATTCTAATATTCCTAGTCTCTTCACCCATAATACCTTTGACATTAAGTGTTACATGAAAAGAAATAATATTTCTATGGCAACTGATTTAAAATAATTGCATTTTGACAATCACTAAAAATATTATTAATTTACAACTTTTTACATGATCAAAACAGTTTAATTTCAGGATTGAATCCCATTTTTCAACAAAATATTCAAGGTTAAGAACTGGGAATCCTCCATGAAATAGAGATATTTCAATATTATCTTAAAATCCCCCTTGGAATATGTACATGTATTTAATTTAATGTTTAATAATCTTAAAGTCTACGTCAATCCCTATTGATTTATGTGTTTACTACAGCATATTTCTAACCTAGATAATTTGACTAAACAGCCTGTCAGCCTGGCAGAAATCAACAACATCATTGCTGGAGATGGAAAGTCATGTAAAATTATTAAAATCGATGCCAAAGTGTCCATCATTTTACCATTCCATTTGTTATAATTACTTTAAATCAATATTAATAACAATACAAGAGTTTCCTTCTCCTCAATACACAGGAAGAGATTTACCCTGATAATTAACATATAGGCTTACAGTTAAGTTAATTGAACAGGTGCTTTGTAATATGATAACTTCATTACTCTCATTATCATCAGGTTTTATATCTCAATTTAAAAAAATTTAAGTTTCTGTTTTAAATTATAATATATTTGCTACACGATAACCCCCCCCCCCCCCCCCCCCCCCCCCCCAATCCCATATTATTTATGACTGGGTAGCCTACAGAATCCCTTAACCCTGGCTGGACCTACACCTCCAACAGAAAATCCATCCCTTACACTTTATGTCTGGTTAGCCTACAGAATCCCCAAACCTCTGACATCCCTCAAAAAAGTATTGACCTACATATATATAATACCAATAGAAACACTTTTTAAAGCTTCAGAAAACCCCCTGAAAAACAGTAACCAAATGACTATAGGACAACATAATCTCTAACACTAGAGGATTGCCAATAAACACAGCCTCCTTATTTTTCACACAACAATCATTTCTTTCCAGTCAATTACCAGGATATTTTATAAGTGATTAATGAGATGTCTGTCAGAGATAAATGTTTTTATCAGAACAGGTGCTGTCTATTATCATTGATCCATCAAACCATTTAACCTGCCTGACCAGATGCATTTTCATTATGACCTCATATAACCTTCCGCTTCTAAACAGTACAAACTCGTTCCATTAGTAATAGCCAAAAATATATAGGTGTTAAGGGTTTCTTGCCAAATAACTGCAGAATTGGTAGGTCATGATTTATTTTTTGTCACATGTCAGAAAAAATTTGGGTCTTCACTGAGTTTCAGTATTATATTGTTTTACCTGAATTTTCCAATGCAATAGTTTTCTTTTAATAAATAGCATGGTTGGATGACACGTTATGAAATGTGGGTTATAGGGGGTAAAAAAAAATTGAGATCTGTGGAAAAAGAAGGACAAAAACAGTAGAAAAAAAAGCGGGATTTGTGAAATGAGTGAACATGGTTTTGATCAATTTGACATTTTTTATAGAATATTTTAGCAGTTATCAGAACAAATATGGTGGTGACAAATAAAGTGAAAGGGGGAACCTATACACACATATTTTTTATTTGGCCTAAAAAGAACCTCTGATCCAGGTTATATTTGGACAGCTAAAATCGATGACCATATCCCCATCACCCCTGTCTCCATCCTTCCAGCCCTCCCTCCATTTCATCCTATCATCCTAAACAAAAAAAACTTTTGCCCTCTAAATGATAACAAGGATTTGAGTAATAAATAATATATCTGTCAGAGGGTTTATATGGACAGGTGATGTCTGTAATCACATCATCAACAAACCATTTAAATACTTAACCCGACAGTTAAATGATCACCAAGTGGTTTATCTACTTCATACATTATACTGATACTTTCTCTTCCTACATACATCCTAAATAAAGATTACTTTTTCATGCTTTAAATAACTTGTTGTTTGTGGTAGATCTTTGCCAAACTAAAGTCGGAAGCCTGTAATTCAGTGGTTGTAGTTTGTTGCTGTATATCATATTTGCTTTTGGTTTACTGTTTTGTACATAAATCAGGCCATTAGTTTTCTAATTTGAAATGTTTTTCATTTGTCATTTTGGGAGCCTTTTATAGCTTGCTGTGCAGAATGGGTTTTGTTCATTGTTCAAGGCTGTACAGTGACCTATAATTGTTAACCTTCTACATCATTTGGTCTCTGGTGGAGGGCTGTCTCATTGGGAATCATACCACATCTTCTTATTTTTATATTAGGAGAGGTTTACTTTCTGTTCCTACAGTACATACATCCTCTACCTGTAGTTATTTTTGATGAATTTGTTGTTAGTGGTAGATCTTTGCCAAACTAGTTACTCTCTTTTAATCAATTCTGCTGACATATGTCTTCCACCATTACATGTAAATTGCATTCTAGTCAGCACCCATTTAAATCTTAGTTATGACTGATATATGATGAAGACTGAATTGAGACTTTACAAGCAGATATTTTAACAGGGAACATTTACTTTAATATGCCAACATGTTTCTGGCATTATAAGAGGAATGTACTGGCATGTTTCTCATTTTAAATGTGTTTACATTTCACATCTGCAAATCAATATGTTACAAATACAGTTGAAAGGGCAATTTCTGCCAAATAAAATATTTTTTTCTGTAAATGTGCTATTTGAAGATTTCTACTGAGAATAGAAACAGATTTTGGGTATACATGTCACAGCAATCCAACAACAAATTAACAAAATACATATATATTGTTACATACAATCTTCGACAATAGACATGTGTCTATACAATTTAAGACTTGTTACAAGTCTTTTCTTTTTGATTTCCTTTGATTCTTACTAACTGATTTGTTCACTGAGAACTGTCATAATACAGATTACACCAGGACAATGGCAAACATGTAGTAGTAATTTTGTAAAAAAATAGGGGGGGGGGGGGTTAATTTTTCTTAAAGAGTTAGTTTCCTAAAGCTTGTAGATTAATACTTTGTTTGACTTGCTTGCTTTGCTTGCTTTGTTAATATAAATAGGCAGAGTTAAACCTGTATACATTATATTTAGATTTGATTGGACATTATCAAATAATCAAATTTAAGTATAATGTATACAGGTTTAACTGCGCCTATTTATATTTATATTGTTTGCAGATGTCAATCTTAATTACAATGCTTGAGCAGATGGTTTACACAAACAAAGCAAGCAAGTCAACCAAAGTCTTAATCTACAAGCTTTAGGAAATAAGCTCTAAAAAAAATTCTGGTTCCAAACTTTGAAGGAAGAAATATTTTGATCAAGCAGAGGGAAAAACAATTCTGATTGGGAGTTTTTGCCATTCAATTTAATATTTAGTCTTCAAACAAACAAAAATATTTGATGCCAATTCTCTAACAAAAACATTAATACAAGCAATATGCAATGATGAGGTTCAATTTTTCCCACCAGAAACACACCTGTACATTCACTGGCATTGTGTTATTACTTTTAGGTGTTAAGTATCTGTTATGATATTGCCTGTCAGACTGATGACAAAGTTTTGATATTTATTGAACATCAGTGATAGGTTCATTTGTGTTACACTTTGACTAATTTCATGGTTATATCAAATCAATCTGGCACAATAGTATGTCTGGCATGGCTGAAACTGGCTTCAAATCAACTAATTAATTTTCCTCTCAACAAATTCTTTCTCAAGATGTATTATATCAGGATTGCTCTTACACTGATCACTCAACAAATCTGTTTCAGAAGAGTTTTGGAAAGTGCTCAAGATCTCCCAGTATTATATCATGCACGTAAGGTTATTACATAATTACTTCAGTGTATTCCAGATCATTTCAAAATCTACTGCTTTAAGTTCAGAGCCATTATTGTTTATCATTCAAACATTAGTTATTCTAAGTTAATTATCATGACGACCTTATCTTTATAATCATTCTCCTACTCCTCCCACCTTTCATCTTTCTATTTTTTAAACAACATGTAGCATCATTTCAGGCTTAAAGGATTCAGACATCAAAGCCACCACTTTTACTCTTAGATAAAGATATTAAGCAATGAGATTTTCTTGCAGAATTCAATTTAGGGACATACCAGAAATATATGAGTATGTATGCACTTAGAAAGGATGTCAAGTGTCATTTTTCTATCACCCCAGACACCAAAAATATAATTGAAAAAAACCCTACATGATTCTTGAGGCTGTTGTCCAAAAATACAACCACCCACCAAATTCTATTTTAAAGCACCTCCTGACCTCCACGCCCCCAAAAAAAAATGTTCAACCATAAAAGAAATTTAAATTCAAACAATATATTTCCTTTTTCTTCTTATCTAATTTTCAAACAGCAATAATTCTGCACAACTGAAAAAAAATATAATTGAGCAGCTAAGATCTAAGACTGCAACAAAATGTAATTAAAAAATTTTGTACAATGTTTCTGCAAACTATGTGAACTTGTGTGTTAAAATAATTTGCTATTAGAGACCCTAAAAAAAATCAGCCCCACAAAAAATACAATGTCTTTTTAAACTATATATGGTAGAAACAATTTTACAAAGTCTCATTCAATTTCATGAAAACTGTAGATTTTTTGCTTTTGTGAGGAAAAAGATGTCACCCCCCAGAAAGATAAAGGAATAAAAAATGTCTGAAGGTACGACATAACAATACCTCTGGTTTTAAATATATGAAATTCTTAATTTTTTTATTTTATAAATTCTAGAACCATTTAAATTCTTTAAAGAATTAATGAGTTTTGAATACCATTTTCACATGGTTGCCTTATCTTCTCCCCCTCTCCCTACATTACACTGACAACATTCCTTGTCTTCTCCCCCTCTCCCTACATGACATTGAAAACATTCATTCACTTCTCCTCCTCTCCCTACAGTACACTATTACACTGACAATGTTCCTTCACTCCTCCCCCTCTCCCAACATTACATTGACAACATTCCTTCACTTCTCCCTCTCTCCCTACATTACACTGACAACTTTCCTTCACTTCTGCCCCTCTCCCTACATTACACTGACAATGTTCCTTCACTTCTGCCCCTCTCCCTACATTAAAATGACAACTTTCCTTCACTTCTCCCAACATTACATTGACAACGTTCCTTCACTTCTCCCCTCTCCCTACATTACACTGAAAACATTCCTACACTTCTCACCCCTCCCTACATTACACTGAAAACATTCCTTTACTTCTCCCACTCTCCCTACATTACACAGACAACGTTCCTTCACTTCTGCCCCTCTCCCTACATTACAATGACAATGTTCATTCACTTCTGCCCCTCTCCCTACATTACATTGATAATGTTCCTTCACTTCTGCCCCTCTCCCTACATTTCACTGACAGTGTTCCTTCACTTCTCACCCTCTCCCTACATTACAATGAGAACGTTCCTTCACTTCTCCACCTCTTCCTACATTACATTGACAATGTTCCTTCACTTCTCCACTTTCTCTACATTACAATGACAACGTTCCTTCACTTCTGCCCTTCTCCCTACATTACACTGCCTACTTTCCTTTACTTCTCCCCCTCTCCCTACATTACACTGACAACGTTCCTTCACTTCACCCCCTATTCCTACGTAACATTGACAATGTTCCTTCACTTCTCCCCCTTTCCCTACATTACATTGACAACATTCCTTCACTTCTGCCCCCTCTCTACATTACAATGACAACATTCCTTCACTTCTGCCCCTCTCCCTACATTACATTGACAACGTTCCTTCACTTCCGCCCCTCTCCCTACATTACAGACAACGTTCCTTCACTTCTGCCCCTCTCCCTACATTACATTGACAACATTCCTTCACTTCTCCCCCTCTCCCTACATTACAATGACAATGTTCCTTCACTTCACCCCCTATTTATACGTTACATTGACAATGTTCCTTCACTTCTCCCCCTTTCCCTACATTACATTGACAACGTTCCTTCACTTCTCCCCTATTCCTACATTACATTGACAAACTTCCTTCTTTTCTCCCTACACCACAATAACTTCACTCCCTACCTCATCCCTGACCCTATATCCTGCTACAGCTATAATATTTACCTCAGCATTCTTTAAAGCCTTGATGAGTATTTGTACAGTATCTTCAAATGATCGTCCCGTCATCCTCCCGAGCTTTTCATACATTGCTCCCAAGCAAGCAATGGCTGCACTGCAAATAGAAAGGATTATATACCGTATATCAGGTTTTTTTGGTATTGGCTTTTTTTTCGCAATTTGATGACAAAATGAGCAGGTTAAATTTTCACTGCGTATAATTTTTCGCTGATTGGGAAAATACATGTGAATAAACTGCTTCGCTGAGCGCAGCTGGATACTCCCACAGAGGTCCAACCCTGAACAGTTGCGGCAAAAATGGACACAATATTCAAGCTTGATACAGGTCTGAATTTGGATTGTAATTAAATATTTGACATATTATAGGTTTCTGAATAAATGTAGTCAAAGAACTTGAAATTGGTAATATGAATGGAATTTATATTCAATTAAAGATTTCTTGCTGTTGTGCAATTCACTGTGCTGTTCAGTGTTGCGCAATGCTTAGTGAATCTGTTGTCAGACTATAAACAAATAAAGTCAATTTCTTCTCAATGTCATATTTGAAATTTATGAAAATCAATAGGGAGATTACATCAATAGCTATAAATAATTCACCAAAGTTTCATGAGAACTCTGAAAGCATTTTTGAGTTATTGTCCAAAAACTGGAAAATCCACCCTTTTTTAATGAATAAAACCCCATAACTCAGAAATCTAAAATCTTAAATTTATAAAACTCTAAAGGGAGCTTACATCAACAGATATAAACAATTCACCAAAGTTTCATGAGAACTGCTGAAAGCATTTTTGATTTTTTGTCTGAAAACTGGAAAATCCCCCTTTTTTTATGAATAAAACCCTGTAACTCGGAAATGTAAAATCTAGTATATATAAAAATCGAAAGGGAGCTCATGTCAATAGATATAAACAATTCACCACAATTTCTTGCAAGTTGGTGAAAGCATTCTTGAGTTATTGTCCGAAAACTGGAAAATCCCCCTTTTTTAATGAATAAAACCCCATAACTCGAAAACGTAAAATCTAAAATTTATAAAAAACGAAAGGGAGCTCACGTCAATAGATATAAACAATTTACCAAAGTTTTATGCAAATTGGTAAAAGCGTTTTTTAGTTAATGTCCGACATGTTGATGACGGACGGACAGACGGACGGACAGACGGACAACGGTATACCATAATAAGTCCCGTAAACGGGCGTATAAAAAGCTGTCACAAATCTTGTTAATAAATTTATGCTTTAAAACATTGGTACAAATTATCCTGTCATAAGGTAATGCACAAGTTATATTTTTTTTTTCTGAATTATTTTGGTTTATGTTACAGAACAATGGGAGTCAAACTGTCCCATTTGGGAGTTATACTTGAAAAGCCTTTTTGGAGTATGACCTTCAAATGCCAAGTCAGTTGGCAACTATGAGTAAAAACTATGTATAAATATTCTGACTCTACTGTTTTCACTGCAAGCACAACACAACAAGTTAATGCTCTGATTATTAAACAGATATATCAATTCATATTACTGCATAATGTAGCACAGCATCCATCATCATATATACCCTAATTACTTATGACAACAGACTTACAGTTTTGTTGGCAGGAAGCTTGGAGAATCATCCTTGTTCTTTATAATATCATTGCATTTGCCGATCGTATGAAACAAGTCAAAGGAATCTCCAACAACAAACAATGTGGCGAGGTTTCTGGCTAGTAACTTTCTTGTTGGCGGACCCGGAGATTCACTAATTTGATTTATTAATTGTTCCACTAATTTCTTCTGTTTTTCTTTTATATCAGACTGAAAAAAAAAAAAAAATAATAATAAAATGTGTTATGCCATCTTTATATAAGTTTAGTGAAGTTGACTCCTATCTAATCATGACAAACCTTCTGGAAAAGCTTCAATCAATATTTCAAAAAAATTCTAAAGGGGTTCTGTGGAACCTGTGGAACCTGTGTCTCGCCTGCTGTCAGTGTAAAAGTGTATGTTAAAGTGTAATGTTGACTTAACTATAGGCTCTAAAGAGCCTGTGTCGTTCACCTGCATCTTCAACAATGGCCACTTTTTAGTAATAAACTGTTAACACAGAGATATGTCTCGCCTTTTTGTTATTTTGAAAATGCAAATGTTGAAATTAAAATAGCAATACTTTTACATGTAAGTTATGCAAATATTCAAAGTCAATGAACCATGACTGAAGGTACATGGCTAAACAATCTTCATGGAAATGAGATGTGCCAATGCTAATACAACTGCATACCAAATACCATTGACTTATCATAAGTCGTTCCCTTTAAACAAACCTAAACACAAACATTAACTTGTAAAACTTTGTAAAAGTTTCAAAGTCAATGAACCATGATGAGGGGTTGGGGCTATATAATCTCAATGGAAACTAGACTTGCAAATGCCAATAAATTTCCATACCAAATATCGTTGTCTTAACATTAACGGTTCATCTTAAACTGATCTAATCACAAACTAATACATGTAAACTAAGCAAAAGTTTCAAAGTCAATAGACCATGACTGAGGGAGCGGGGCCAAATATTCTCCATGGAAATGAAATGTGCTAATGCTAATATACAACTTCAAACTAATAAACATTGGCCTACCACTAATGGTTCCCCTTGAACTGTTCTAATCACAAACTAAAACATGTAAACTAAGCAAAAGTTTCAAAGTCAATAGACCATGACTGAGGGGTGGGGCCAAATAATCTCCATGGAAATGAGATATGCCAATGCTTATGCAACTGCATACCAAATATCATTGACCTATATATATATATAGCTACCACTTGTGGTTCCCCATAAACTGACCTAATCACAAACTAATACATTAAAACTTACAAAAGTTTCAAAGTCAATAGACCATGACTGATGGGGCGGGCCAAAATAACCTCATGGAAATGAGATATGCCAATGCTTATACAACTGCATACCAAATATCATTGACCTACCACTTGTGCTTCCCCATAAACTGACCTAATCACAAACTAGTACATGTAAACTAAGCAAAGTTTAAAAGTCAATAGACCATGACTAAGGGGGCAGGGCCAAATAATCTCCATGGTAATGAGATGTGCCAATGCTAATACAACTGCATAACAAATATCATTGACCTACCACTAGTGGTTCACCATAAACGAGACCTAATCACAAACTAATACCTTGTTGATGCCACCTCTGACGCCGGAAACAGCTACCTATGTCTCGCTTTTTTTTTTGCCAATACATTTGCATACCGAATATCATTGACTTAACATTAGTGGTTCATCTTAAACTGACCTAATCACAAACTAATACATGTAAACTAAGCAAAAGTTTCAAAGTCAATAGACCATGACTGAGGGGTAAGGACCAAATATTCTCCATAGAAATGAGATGTGCTAATGCTTATACAACTGCATACCAATTATTATTGACCTACCACTAACAGTTCCCCTTAAACTGACTTAATCACAAACTAATACATGACCTTGACTGAGGGGGCGGGGCCAAATAATCTCCATGGTAATGAGATGTGCCAATGCTAATACAACTGCATACCAAATATCATTGACCTACCACTAGTGGTTAACCATGAAATAGACCTAATCACAAACTAATACATTGTTGACGCCGCCGTCGTCGTCGATGCCGGATAACAGATACCTATGTCTCGCTTTTTGACGCCGTCAAGGCGAGACAAAAATGGTAAAATAGGTCATTCAAGGGCAGTAACTCCTATAAGAAGTGACTTAGTTAATAAGTAGAGCTCAACATTCTGAACATTTTTGTTCCCGTCAGAATTTCTCTTTTTAAAGTGGTTTTATAAATAGGCAAAACTTGCATTTACCTTGATGTTTCTCCCTCCCTTAGAAAGTTTTACGCTTGACAAAAGAAAACTTGAAAACATCTCCTCACGCATTTTGATGTTGCTGATAACTTCTACTCAAGACATTGTGACATTGCCAATAACTTCTCCTCAGACTGTCTGCTAATGTATCAAAGTCCTGATAGGTAAATTACAGAGCGACTGAACTGGGTGGTATAGGCGAAGGAAAAGGTAAATTACAGAGCGACTAAGCTGGGTGGTATAGGCAAAGGAAAGGACAATAAATGTACAATTTGTTCAGGCAAAAAAAATATATAATTGTTTCCTGTGTCATGTGTGCAGTTGGTAGGTATGTGAAGTAATTTCAATTTTTGAAATATTTAACATAGAATAGATTGAGACAAAGTCAGTATATATATATATATATAGGGAAACAAAATATTGTATACAGGGAAATGTTCTGGACTTTATTAACGGGAAACAAAAAAACTGGTTTTTTTTGCTTCACTAGCAGCTGTGTCTATACACGTAAACATGTACCAGTATATAACTTTATTCTAAAACTTACTTTCTGTGCTGCAGATAGAACTTTATCCAGAAACCTCAGCCATTCAAATACAAATACTGGTCTTTTATTTTCAGGAATTTTTTTGAAAGCTTCTTCATTCAATAATAAACTATGTGCCAATTCCATTTTCACAGGTTACTGAAAAATATCAAGAAGTCACTGAAATAGATCCATAATTTCCTAAAAATATCACCAAAGTGCAAAAAATGTACATTTGTATTACATCCAAAATGTGCAAAGTACTGAAAATATCCACAAGGAATAATGATTTGATAATACCCACTAATAAGTACAAATTACATATACATGTATATATAGATCTCCACAAATTGCAACATATTTAAAATATCCACAAATTAAAGTTCCAAGTATTGAAAATATCCACAAATTATTAAAACCTCTTCAACACATATCCACAATTTAAGTTAGTTAACTTATGAAAATCAATCACAAATCATTCAGATAATCCTGATTAAATCAAAACATCAGATACATGTAACTATCCATTTCACAATACATTTCATATTATGAATATGCAAACCTGCTGTTGACGTGGAAGTACATGTTAGTTCTGAGTGGTTCTATTACATACAGATGTAGCTACTCTCACTGCTCACGTTTGTGACTATGGAATGTTTATGATTATAAAATCTTTGTAATCAGTCAGTCACTGCTGTACATCATAAGGGGAGAGTTAACCAACTGTTAAATATAAGTCTAATTAACTACTGAGCAGGAAATAGAATGCCCTTTGTATTCAAAGAAGATATTTTTTTTTCGTTTTCTGTTTGTTTACCTTTTTTTATAAAACATTTTGTAAAAGGGGGAATGTGGATGGATTAAGAGCTTAAACATTTAGGATGTCAATTTATCAAGCATCCACAGTTTGTTTCCCTTTATATTAATTAGTTACTTAGGTTTTTATGTAAAACTAGTGAACAGAAAAATTGTCTTTCCATTGTGGAATAATCTACCTATAATAGATTGGCCTTTGTAAATGCCTTTTTATTTAAAACATAATTATGCTGCCTGTTCTTCCTCTGGTACATGTATATTAGAATCTGGGTACATGTTTATAAAATTTTTACACTCATGCCTTGTTCTATCAAAAATCCTAATGAATTTCTCCCTGGGTTTATTATAAATATTTGTTGACCATGTGATGCAATTTATCTCAACACTTGTGATCAATATCATGGCAAGACCTTTTAAGTATTTTTCCATTCAACAGAAATGTCCCTTGAGTAAAATTTTCAATCTTCAAATAAAGACTTCCCACATCCTTGTGATGTCAAATGTTACGTCTAAATTGTAAAATCTATTGTCTAAATCGTAAAATCTATTATCGGTATGAAAAGAGATACAATACATATTATAAAACTAACTTCATCTGTTATTGATTCCAAACTAGGACAACCAATCATTGTCTACTGCATTCTCTATAGATGACTCATTTTTGTTTACAGTCTATCAGTAAAAAATATTCATACCATATACAGATCAATTCAATTTGTATGACATACTTTTGTAATTACATCAATATGTATGACATACTTTTTCAATTTCATCAATTTGTGGGAAAATAAAAAGAAATCCCATAATTACATACTAGTATATATATATTTCCACAAAGATGCCATTAAACTGATTGGATATCATGCATTTATCATGTTTTCCTTCACATAAAGTCAAATTGCTAAAAGACTACACTCCTTATTTCTTGAAATCTTCCATATCGAATTTACCATAATACCTTGGTGTAGATTAGAAACATCCAATCCAGCTAAAGAAATCAGAATTTTGTTAATGGAAAGCAGGAATTTAATGTTGTACCAAAATCATACAATTTTAAAGTCAGTACTAGAGACTCCTACATTATCCTAGGTCCCTGAATCTCTCAACTGGCCATATTTCATATTTTTCATTGTCATATTTGATGCCATTCATAATATTTCCAGAAACAAAATTATTTTATTTACAAATATACAGCTTTTTGAATGTGTTCATGAGAAATCAAGGGGAATAAAGTCAGGAGCCTGTAATTCAGTGGTTGTCGTTTGTTTATGTGTTACATATTTGTTTTTCGTTCATTTTTTTACATAAATTAGGTCATAAGTTTTCTCGTTTGAATTGTTTTACATTGTCATTTCGGGGCCTTTTATAGCTGACTGTGTGGTTTGGGCTTTGCTCATTGTTGAAGGCCGTACGGTGACCTATAGTTGTTAATTTCTGTGTCATTTGGTCTCTTGTGGAGAGTTGTCTCATTGGCTTCTTTTTTATATATACAATATTCAAGCTTGATACTGTCTGAATTTGGATTGTGATCATATTTTTGACATAATATAGGTTTTTGACATAAAATAAATGTGGTCAAAGATCTTATAAATCCATTGCGCAATACTGTGAAGATTTCTTCTTGAAACTTTTCAAAAATTCGAAATTTAAAAAATTTTGTAAAAAAAATATGAATCCCTTAAAAAAGTTGAGAAAAAAATCCACCCCTCCTCCCCTTGGAGCAATAACCCCAAAACTCAATCCCAGCCTTTCCTTTGTAGTATGGAACCTTGTAGTACAATTTCAGAGAGATCCATACACTTACACACAAGTTCTTGTCTGGAAACTAGAAAAAATGCTTGTTTTTGGCCCCTAATTCCTACATGTTTGGGGCAATTAACCCCAAACTCAATCCCAGCCTTCCCTTTGTTATATGGAACCTTGTGGTACTATGTCAGAGAGATCCACACACTTACTTACAAGTTATTGTCTGGAAACTAGAAAAATGCTTGTTTTTGGCCCTTAATTCCTAAACTGTTGGCCCCCATAACCCCTAAAATGAATCCCAACCTTCTACTTGTGATATTAAACTTTGTGGTACAATTTCAGAGCGATCGAAATACTTATACACAAGTTATTATCCTGAAACTAGAAAAATGCTTGTTTTGGGCCCCTTTTTGGGCCCCTAATTCCTAAACGGTTGGGACCATCATCCCCAAAATCGATCCCAACCTTCCTTTTGTGGTATTGAACCATCTTAATAAATTTCATAGAGATCCATTTACTTAAACTAAAGTTATTGTCCGGATAGAATGTATCAAGTCTACATTTGATAATATAGGAATGGTCAGTATTTGTTACATAATAATGATATTAATGGTTTAGTAAAGCAAAAGTTATTAGATAATTTTTACCAGAACTGGTATAGTGATATATGGGTAAATCTTCTAGAGGCGAATTTTATCTATGCCTCAAGAAAGAATTTGGACTAAAAAGATATCTTTTAAAATTAGCTAAAGTTGATCGTTTAACTATAAGTAAACTACATGTAAGATGCTCAAATGTAAAATTTCCTGTCGAAACAGGTAGATGATCATGGGTTGGTTCATCCATGGAACACAGGATTTGTCATTTGTGTAACTTGAATGAAATAGGTAATGAATACCACTACTTTTTTGTATTTAACCATGTTAAAGTAACATCTCTTAGAACTCTGTATATTCCAACATATAATACACTTTATCCATCTGTATATAAAATGTATGGACTATTCTCATTATGTAATATAAAGGTCTTAAAGAATATAGCTATATTTTTGAGGGATGTAGAAAAAATATTGTACATTGTAAGCAGCTGTACTGCTCATAACTAATTTCATGATACGCAGTTGTATATTTTAGCTGCCAATTCCATTTGATTATATGGACTGAATTCCTCTTGTAACACTATATGTGTCTGAGAGTTTACAATAAAGAATTTGAACTTGAAAACTTGGGAAACCAATGTAAAAGTGTCGCTATCAACATTCAAACCTGATCTGTGTTAACTTATGTGGTAATAAGCATTGTGTATAAGTTCATTACATTTGGTTGAGGCAAACTAAAGTTAGAGAACGGAAACAAAAAAATCAGCAGTTTTCAATTTGTAAAGGGGCATAACTCTAAAACAGTAAAAGTGACGCCACCAAAATTCAAACTTGATCTGTGTTTTGTGGTAATAAGCATTGCGTATAAGTTTCATAACATTTGGTTGAGGCAAACTAAAGTACGGAAACAAAAAATTCAGCAATTTTTCCATTTGTAAAGGGGCATAACTCTAAAACAGTAAAACTGACACCACCCAAATTCAAACTTGATCTGTGTTTTGTGGTACATGTAATAAGCATTGTGTATAAGTTTCATAGTATTTGGTTGAGGCAAACTAAAGTTAAAGAACGGAAACTAATTTTGGGGACATACGCGACAGAAGGGACAGACGGATGGACGGACAAGGGAAACACTTAATGCCCCCTCTGCTACATGTACCTCTTGATCAGTTTTATCTCTTATCATGTTTATAATAATACAATGAACTACTTGACTGTAAATTAACTACATGTATGTGTAAATAAGTATCTGTTTTTGATTGTATTGTAATTTGTACACAATGTGTGAGGGCCTCAGGGAAGATTAGCTTGTTGTAACTAACTGTGTTTACCCTCATAACTGAAGAACGGTAAAAGTGACGCTACCCAAATTTGAACTTGATCTGAGTTTTGTGGTAATAAGCATTGTGTGTAAGTCTCATAACATTTGGTTGAGGCTAACTTAAGTAGAGAACAGAAACGAAAATTCCGCAACTTTTCTATTTGTAAACACACATAACTCTAGAACGGTTGCATTGTGTATAAGTTCAGTAAAATTCAGCAATTTTTATGTTTATAAAGTGACATAACTCAAGAATGGTAAAAGTGACGCCATCGAATTTCATACTTAATCTATATCATGTAGTAATAAGCATTGTGTATAAATAAGTTTCATAACATTTTATTGAGGCAAACTAAAGTTAGAGAACGGACACATTTGTACTTGATCTTAGTTTTGTGGTAATGAGTATTATGTACATGTATAGGTTTCATAATGTTTGGTTGGGGCAAACTTAAGTTACAGAATGGAAACTAAAAATTTTGCAATTTTTCGATTTATAAAGGGGCATAACTCAATAATGGTTAAAGTGACACTACCCAAATTCATCTTGATCTGTGTTTTATCAGTGGAAGGCAAAATTAAACATTACATTGTATAAAGCATTGATTGTAGTTGATTTAACTATAATCATGGACAAAGGAAGATAACTCCAATTTTAAATGACATTGATATTTTTGG